ACCATGACAAAAAAATTGTATATGATAGTTATAGTTGTGAAAATGACATTGTTGTTATTTATACAGTATAAATTTACGTGATTGTTAATCGTTTTGTTTTTTTGATTTACGTGAAGATTTATACCACTTTTAATTATTTAAAATAAATTATTTATTTAGGAATTTTAATAAAATAGCGAGTTAATTATTGTTTACATGAATGTTATAATAAATCAAATTAATGAATTTTACCACTTTTGATTTTAGTTTTTTTATTTATCTCTATAAATTTCAATATTTTCAATTTATATTCTTGAACACATGTCTATCTATTAATTTTTACTTTAATAATAAAAAATCACACTATTTTTTTTACTATTGATGTATATTTATAATTCAAAGCTAAGTTTATTTTTTCTCAAATTTTATTTCACTATCTAAGCGTAGTCCAACCTGAAAAAATTTTAAATTTTTTTATCAGCATAACCAGATAGTATAGTAGCATGGCAATAGCAGTTTGTGAACTTAAGTGGATCTCTTATATCCTACAAGAGCTTTATGTCCTATAGATTGTATCAGGCGGCCATACACATTATTATCAATCCAGTTTTCACGAAAGAACTAAACACATTGATATAGATTGTCATGTGGTTAGAGATCAATTTACTATAGGTTTCATTGTTCCTCAGCACGTTTCATTCAAGCTTCAACTTGCAGATTTGTTTACTAAATCTCTTCATTTTCCTTTTTCTTTTCGATTATCCAATATGGAGTTGGTAGATTTCTCCCCAACACTATCTTGAAGGGAATGTAAATATGGAAGTCATGCAACGGGTAGTTTAGTCTTTAGCCTTTTTACCAAAATCATGTCGTTTTATTATTGTACAAATTATGTTGACATAAATGTTTACTCATTTTAGGTTTTTTCTTTTATATATATGTAAAGAACAGTTGCATTTTCCTAAAATATAGGACAGTGAACATATTTGAGTTCACTTTTCATTGGATTTTAATATATGTATTAAAATTTAAATAAATTAAGGCTCTATTCAGTTATATCGTTTTGAGATAGTGTTTAGTGTTTTGATTGAGTTAAAATACTGTTTTTATTAATTATTATATTCGGTAATTTCATATTTATCTTAACATTTAGATTTTGAGGTAGTGTTTCACGAGACATTATCCTTATTATTGTTTAATGTTTTATAAATTTTTTATGACGTCTATGCCTATCACTTGTCTTTGCCTCGTTCTATGACCTTACCATTTTTTATCTTTTTTATATTAAACAGCTAATCAAACACTTATTTTTATCGAACACATCTATTTTAACCGCTATATAAACAGTAGCTAATATCTAACCGCTAATAGCTAGTAAAATAGCTGACAGTTACTACAACATAACATCTACTAAACCGTTAAAATTGCCGAATAGGTCCTAAATGGCATAAGCCCTATCCGTAGTAAATTAATAAAGAAGATTAATTAGAATAAATTCTCTAAATTATATATATATATATTCAGAATATGCATTGAAAAATACAAGGTATTGAAAACCATAAAATACTTTACAATTTAATATTTAAAAGCTAAAATAGAGTTATTTAGAAAAATTTACCTGCTAAAATACTTTATATTTGACTTGCTTACATATCAAATTTTATGAGTTTTGATTAATTATATTAATAGGTAGCTTATAAGTAAGAACACCTCATGCTCATTTTAACTGCCTTGTTTAATATACTGATACAATGTACATATGCGATTCTTGACTCCATAAAAGGAGAGACCGACTACATCTTAAAACACTGAGTCTTGATTAAATTAAATTAAAATTCGAAAACCATTCAACGTAGAAATCATGGGATTAGGGATGCAAGTAATGCTGATGCTAAGCATGGCAGGATGCCTCGCCACAATTTCATATGCTGCAGAAGGGACTGCCACTTTCTATAACCATTATGTCCGTAAGTATCTAAATGCATACGATAGAAATCTTAAATTTAAATCCTCTCGTCCACAAGTTTTTATTAGGCTACTCTTATTATATATCTCATAATATTATTTTGACCCTTTTTACCCTACGACGAATCAAAGATATATAATTTTACTGATTTGGAAACGATTGATTCCATAATTATTTTCTAATCACATAAATGTTACATTTTCTCTTCCTGTGACAGCCTCCTATTGCTATGGAAATGCAAATAAGGGGGTAATGATAGCCGCAGCGAGCGACGCCATATGGAATAACGGGGCAGCTTGCGGGAGGAAATACAGAGTCAGGTGTACTGGTGCCACAAACAATGGCCCTCCACCTTGCAAGGGAGGCAGCGTTGATGTAACAATAGTCGATTAATATCCGCCAGGTTGCCAAGGAACTATTGATCTGTCCCCGGAAGCTTTCTCTCTAATTGCAAATCCTATTGCTGGCAAAATCAAAATTGAATATACCCAGTGAGTAATATTTCTGCTAATTTTTTCCCCTCCATTTTCTTTTGTTAATGTTTTGAAGTGTATAATGTTAGTGTTTTTTGTGAAAGAAGAGCTGGACAAACGGTTTGGTCTGACATTTTCATAACCGATTATACACTACTTTTGGATGACCCGATCTATTCAAAAAACAACGAGATATATAAAATAATATGACTGTACTAAGATAAAATAAAACAAAATGAATTTGCATAAAAATTAAAAAATGCTGCCGTTATGCCCACAGCGATCATATATAATTAATTGTCGCTAATAACTGTTTACATTTCCAATTTTGCAGGTTGTAAGGGAATGCTGCATATGGATAGCATGCATTACTGAAAGAGGAAGCAATAAATTATATATAAATGGAATAATTTATAGAATAATGTCCAAACTAAATAAATTCCAATAAATAAAAAATCAAAAGAGGATCCTCACTCATATATGAACATTTGCTATTTATATGGAAGCCAAAGAAAAAAAAAGTGCCATCTTTCTTGGTTTGCTATCTATATTTTTCCCCCATTTAGGGAAAAATATAATTTAGGCAGGTACTTCCTTTTTTTTTTTTTTTTGAAGAATTTTTATTTATTCAACACTTGTAGAATTTTTATTTATTGACCAAAATAATTTTCCTTCAAATTTATTTCTAATTTTTTTAAAAAAATTATGAAATGACTTATTCCAACTTGAAGCTTCGAAATTAGAAAAAGCAATAAATTTCCAAAAATTAAGGGCATAGCAAAATTTTTTTGAAAACAACTTTTACATTAATTTATGAAATTATTTCTCAAAAAGGTTTTTTAAGTACTACAAGAAAAAATTGAGATTAGCACAAAAATTTCCATTTCTGAAGTCCAAAAGTCGTTAGAGGAAAAATTCTGCGTTTATGAATATAATTATAAACAGTTTATATATCAGTCGCTACTCTAGAACAGATACATCGTTGCTATTTAAAATGAATATCCATCTGTTGCTAATTTAGAAACTGAGCTTTCTGTTTTCAAATAATGTAGCTCCATTTCTAAATTTTGATGTCATTGACACAAATTCCGTTTTTAGTCCATTGCTATTCTGCTTCTAAGTATCATATTTTCTGTTTTTTAATTTCCGTTTGTAAAGCAACGACAATGTACTTTTGATGAATTTTTGTTGCTAAATTTGTTTCAAAAATATATGATTTAGTAAAAAAAAGTATTTGTTCTAGGTAGTAATTGCTAATTCTTATATACATTTAAATACGAATTTAGCTTTTAATTCTACTGTAATTCATTTCTAAGTCTATTGCTATTTCATAATCCATTGTAAATTTTATAAATTCTATTCCTAATATTTTTTTTACCAGTTTTCCTTTAGAACTAGAAAGCTGAAGTAAATATAAATCCATAAATCTATTTGGCTTTTCATTCATCTAAAAGAGAATATCAATTTAGTAAATCTTTTTTTACTAACTGAGTAAATAAATGATACAAAGAAATATAAAATATTGAAACCTGGTTTCTTCATAATCTGATATATATGTTGTCTTTGCCGATGGAAATATTTTTCTACATGCTACAAGATAAAAAATCACTGAAATTTTCTTTCTTTAATTATTTAATATTTTTCTACATGTTTTTCTTCAAAAAAAAATATATTTATTTTTCTACATTCTACAGCTTGTTTGGAATTATAAATTAATATATCTAGTGAGATTTTTTGAAAGACATTTAGTGAGAATTTTTTTTACAATTTTTACTAAAAATTTCCGACTTCAAGCAAGCCAGCATACTTAATATTTTTTAAATAAAATTAAAAAAAAACATGTAAATTTAAAATAAAATCATAATACAATTATTTCCAATCTTATCAAGTTTTTCAAGAATTGAATAAGGGAAATGAAAACCTTCATTGTATTCATTCCTGATCAAAATTGTCAAGTTCAATATTTCCAATAATTTTAAATTATTAGAGTTAATATTATTAAAATATCACCGATTAATTTAGTCACCACCAAAATGGGCTGTTATAATAAGCCAAGACTTGGGAAGCCTTAAGCCCAAAGTTAAAGCACCCAGTGAGGTCCAAAGCCTACATTCTAAATGCCTCCACAAATTCTCCACACATAAGAGTAATGAAAATATCTTACCTCTAAATGATTCCTTGTAATTAGATTTCCCATTTGTAAACAAATCTTAGCCGTTACATCGAGAGTTGAAAATGCTATATAAATACCACCCTGCCTCCCTCTCATTTGTAAACCATAGCAAAACCAAAGCAAGCACCAAAGCAAAAGCCCAGTAAGTAATTCTTCCTTAACTTTGGTGGAAATGTTTGCTTCTTTAATAATACAAATAATACTTGGTGTTGTGTTTAGTAATATTTGGTTGCCTTTCCCCGTTAATTATCATTATTAATCAATCTTGGAGTTTATCACTACACTTATATCCAACAAGTGGTATCAGAGCTAATATCCAACAAGTGGTATCAGAGCATTAAAACCAACAAATATTAAATTCTTAGAATTGAGAGCCAAAGTATGCAGTCCTAGAAGAAGCCAACTAAAATTAAGAAAGAGGAGATGCAAGTTCATTTTTCTCTCATTGAAAATAAACTACAAACAAAGCCAACTGATATTTATTACGTGAAGATATACATAGATCATCCTTAATTATACTCTTCACATATTCTTTGTTTATTCCCCTTTTTATTTATTTAAATTATGATATTGGAAAACTAATGATAAGAAACTTGCTAGGGGAACTACACACAAGCTTCTCTTATCAAGCTCATCTATCCCTCCAACGTGTTTATCCTGCACATTAACATATATAGATATATATAGACAGTCAGAAGCCATATTAGCTTGGTGTGTGCGTGGGTTTATATTAATTGTATCAGAAACTAAGTGATCGAACTGGACTTACATGTCATATGAAACCACGAGTCCTCGAACTACGACAACGTCGAAAAGCTTGGCATAAGCATCTACAGATATCTCAAAAGTTGTCTTGCAGTTTGAACAGTGATCAACTATTAATGTAACAACAGTAGCGTTCTCTTTACAAAGTCTGTTTGAGGCGTCGCCGATTCTCTCGCACCTCACTATTAACATGTTACCACATGCATCCCCTTCATCCCATAAGGCATCGCCTACTCTAGCCAACAGCGTAGTCTTGAGAGGCTTATCTCCAAAACATTTATTGGCTATTCCAACACAGAGAAACACCATATATACAGAGAAACACCCATATAAATATATATATATATAATATTAATTAGAAAATAATTTTAGTGTTTAATAATTTTTTCAAATGCGTAGCTGTGTACTTACGACTGTAAGGTGGGTCGTAGACAGTAGTAGTCCCAATGTCATTCCCCTCGGTGGCAACTGAAGCAACGAATCCCACCAAACACAGAGTTAGCAGCAATACTTTCGTTGCCTTCCCCATGATTTTAATTTAATTTGGTTGCTCTCTCTAAATTGGTGTTCAAGATTGTAATTAGCAATTTAATGTGATTGAAAGCTAAAAACACACCCTCCCCATTTATAAAGAGTCAGCAACGCCATTGGGTAATAAAATAGGGCATAAAGTACCCACTTAGATGATGGAATCACAAAAAACATAGCATATTTACAGTCTCTTGATTAATTGGATACCCACATAGATTTGCATTAATTGGAGTTTCTTGCTTAATCGCACAAATTGCTTAATTAGATAAGCATCCAATAAGGTACATAAAAATAGGACTTAATTAATGTATTCTCTAATAAGAATTTAAAAAAAAAAAAATCGCCTTCAAAATTACATTTTTTCTTTTTTATTCATTGAAAGGTCTAATGGGTCGAAAGAACATTGTGAAATATACAATAGAAATAGTCATTCCATTTACTTACTAAATTGATAAAAATTCTTATGGTAAAAAAATATTTTAAATTTGAAATTTTTTATTTAACACATAAGTGACAAGACCAACTAAAACACACCGATTGACTTGATTACATTTTTCTTTAAAATCATTATATATAACATATAAATAATGGAATCACACAAGGATAGCATATTGAGAGTGCTTTCACCTAACAAGAAAGCACCCATTAGCTAAATTTCCTTTTCATCTATCCATGGAACAAATGTAATGAAACGGTTACAGTATCTCCCTTTGATATTTTGTAATTTTATCCATGGCTCTTAATATTTGACAGTTTGCTTCTTTTAGGTTAACCTTTTACTTACACATCTTGAATGTTCCTTGTATACCCGTCAGGAATTTTTTAACAATTTTCAAGAAAATATCTATCTTTCCTCGTTTTGTGGAAATGAGGAAGTAGATAGTACATTTATACATATCTATAGTGCCTCCATAATGGCATGCGAATCTATCCATTAAGAAATTCCATAAGTTCCAGTCCGAAATTTGGATCTTTTAGGGCTCTCTATCTAACTTTATCCATCATTCATCATATCACTATAATACTGTAATAATCAAACCATGAAATTAAGAGTACTGTTTATTGAAATAATTTTTTATAAAATATCAAAAACGCCCTCTGGAATTAAAGTTGTTTTAATTGATTTTTTTTAAATAAAAACAACGGATACTCTCCCGAATTAAAGTCAGATTTTACTTTTATTGATTTTGTCAAATATTACATCATCTGGTGAATATTACATCTTTTGAAAAATTAGTAGGAATTAACGAATTAATGATTGAAAAATTAATTTTATTTTGGTCAAATTCATCATTGTTCGCAAAATATTTAAAATTAACCATATCATATCTTAAAGGAAAAGCTATTTAAATAAAATAATTAATTGTATAATAATTTTACAGTAAATTATAATAAGGAGTAAGTTTAATCTTACATAATTCGTATAAACACTAGCATCAAAAATTATATATAAAACTTTGGTTCACAAATCATAGATATTCCCTTAAAGTTTACGCAATGGTTTGTAAATATGAAGTCCTAATATTCATCTGAACATAAATTGCATGCCAAGTCCGTTCCTCTTTTTGAACCCATATTATTGCTAAGTTTATATATTAAGTCCTCGTATTAACCACTCTTAGAATTATTAAATTTTTTTTTGCAGTATATCTTGAAACATCAAAGCATTCTCTAAGGCAAATTGAATATTTTCACCACCCAAATAATTTTTTTTTTTTTCCTCTCTATCTCTATTTTGGTATATCATAATGAACGAAACAAAAGTAAACGTGCATGAAATTTCAAAGAATTCCAATTGCAAGAGTTGAATCATGAAGTCCCATATCGGTATGAAGTGAAACCAAAAAAAAACATAAATATAGGTCTATACATATATAAGTATCGAACAAACTGTTTTGATATCCATATTAGTAAGATTAATTAATAAGCCGTTGATGTTTTTTTTTTTTAAATAATTAGTATTCTTTGAGTATGAGATTAGTCTTATTGAGTTTCTTGTTTTAACAACTATAGTATCATGGAATAATGCAATTTAAAATTCAAAGATAAGAAAGAGGGAGATGAGAGTTGATTTATCTTTCACTCAAGATAAACTGTAAACAAAATCATATGATATTACATGAAGATATGTATAGATGGATGCTACATTACTGAACATCATCCTTACACTCTTCACAAATTCTTTATTTATTTTTTCCCTTTTTATTTATTTATATTTTTATGTCGGAGATAATAGGAAACTTGCTTGGGGAACTACCCACAAGCTTCCCTGTTAATGCCATTTATGACTTTCCTTACACCCTGCATATTAAACAAAGATAATCACAATCCATCCATAATTTAATTACTTGATTATATTATATATATGTAAAACCAAGTGAAGTGGAGTTACAAGCTATATCCAACTTGGATTGATGGAGCATCAGGATCAGCAATCTTGGCATAAGCATCATGAGAAATCTGAAAAGTTGTCTTGCAGTCTGGGCAGTAATCAGCTACTCTTACATCGACAGAGGTATGCCTTTGCAAGGTTTGCTTGCGTCGGAGGAACTAATGCACCTCACTCTCAAAGTCTTTGTACATTTATCCCCACCATCCCATAAGGCTTCACTTACTCTAGCCAACAGCGTAAGTGAATCACTTCCGTAACGCTGGGTGGCTATTCCAAAACAGAGGAACACCATCATATTTAATTACAGCATAGTTTTAGTATCTAATAATTTTTCCATATACATATATAGATCTATATATACTTACGATAGGAAGGTACATAGGCAGAAGCAGTGGCATTGACATTACCGGAAGCACCCCCCTCGCCGTTGGCACCACCCTCTTCAGCACCATTGTCATCGTTCACTCGAATGGCAAATGCAACTGAGGCAAGGTATCCCACCATGCACAACATAAGCAATACTTTCATTGCCTTTCCCCATGATTTTAGTTTTGGTTGCTCTCTATGATTAAATTGGCACTTAAATGTGATTGAAAGCTAAACACATTATCTCCCTATTTATAGAGATTCAGCAACGCCATAAATATGCATGGGGTAATAAGATAGGGCTTAAAGCACCCACAAAATTAAATAATCATTACAATGTAGAAGATGGGATCACACAAATATTGCATGCTGGTAGTCTTTGATTTGTTGTAATTTGTAAATGATCAACAATGACATCAATTTGCATAATAAAAAAAAAATTGTCCAAATCATTAAAATTTATAAATTATGAAATTTATTTACATCATTAAAGTTATATAAATTGTTACTTAAGCTATTAATTCTCTAACGTTATATTAATCAATTACATTTAAGACAGTTTAATTCAATCATAAATTAATTTATTTTCAAATAAATATAAAAACAAACAATCAAGCCATACACATATCATTAATTTGGAATCTTACGTGGCAACACCAACAAATTCTACCTGCTATATATATGCTATAATAATATATACAATTATATATAATTATATTGATTTGATAATTGATAACTGCAAACCGTGTTAAATAATTTTAAAGAAAGAGACAAAAATAAAGTTTGAGTAAGAACTACTAACCTCTTTAGTGGAAATAGTTAAAATTTAGAAAATTCTGAACTTTTAAGAAAAAAACGAATAATTTATTTAAAAGCAGGAACCAATACACATTTGCCAAAGATATAGAAGAATATAGTGATACAACTTATATGTATAATATTTCTAAGAAAGCTAAAGTTTTTCTCGAGAGTAAACAATTTAAAATTTAAAAAAAAAACAGCACCATTTAAAAAAAAAAAACTAATACATTAATACATGAATAATCAAATCAAACCAAACAAAAAACACTAATTCAAAATAAATCCAAACCAAATCAATACATTAATACATTAAAAAATCAAATCAAATTATGCAAAGTAGAAGCCTAACTGGAAAAATATACCACATGCCAAATTAAAATGTCAAGTCGATATGCCACATGTCAACTTTCTAAAGAAACAACGCTTGCTCATATATATATATATATATATATGTATTGATTTGAATAAATTTATAACGTTTTTTCTTCCTAAATTACACGTTCAAGCATGTGCAAGTAGAAGCACCATGAGACATCCTACCGAGTCGAGTCTTAGCATAGAGTTGAGTAGTCGAGTTGAGTCGAGTTGAACCAAACCCGGTTGGGGTAGAATTTATAAGTGGACTTATTTGAGTGAGAGAAAAAGATAAAAGCATGTGGGTGAGGCATTTGATTTTGTATAAAAGATGCAGCTTCGGTTTTTAGTAGTAACCTGTTAACAATCGAAGGTAACCATTTAGGAAGTTTTTCCATAAATCCCTTTTTGATTTTTGATGGCCTACCCCGTAATACACATTTTCACTTTCCCATTCATGTTTTATCTTTCTCTTCCTTCCTTTCCTCTTCCACCTTCTTTTCATTTTTCATGGTAGTTAAGCCAACTTCAATTTTTCTTCTATCCAAGTAAGAAACCTTTCTTTGAAGTCATAATTGAAATCAGTTTTGGCTGCTATTATTTTAGAAATTCATAAAGAATTCATTATTTATTAGGTGAAGGGAGTTGCTAAGAGTGTAGAGAAAAGAAGCTTAAAGAGGAGCTCAAGCTTCTGGAGTAAAAGGTTTGAATAATCTCTTGTTATTTTTCCATCTTTCTTTTGATGAGATTGTGTGGTGTGTTGCATATTGAGGACCAATCTTGCTTTATGTTGAGTTGGAGGACTGCATGGTAATGGTGTAGAAAAACAGGGAAAACAGGGAAGTATTTGAATAAATGAAGTAAAAGAGTGAGTTATGTTTGAAAACAGGTTTTGCTGGAAATTTACGCAGAACTCTCATCTTATTTTTACCCACATTTATTGGATGGAATTAGGAAGTGGTCATGAAGAGTTATTTGTTCCTCTATGTGTTAAACCAAACCCGGTTGGGGTAGAATGGGATTTTAAGTGGAGTTACTTGATTGAGAGAAAAGATCAAAGCATATGAGTGAGGATTGATTTGCATTAAAGATTAAGCTTGGGTATTAAGTGATAGCCTTTTGCTAATTAAGGTACCATTTAGAACTTTTACACAAAGTCATGAATATTCTAGAGCCTACCCGTGCATATCATTTCACTTTCCCATTTTTCATGTTTATCTTCATCTTCTTCATTTTCTTCCTTTCGCTTCTTCCACCTTCTTTTCAATTTTCATGGTAGTTAAGCCTTAACTTCAACTTTTTTTTCTATCCAAGTAAGTAAACCTTCTTTAAGTTCATAATTGAATCATTTGGTGTTATTATTTTAGAATTCATAAGGATTCTAATTTATAGGTGAAGGGAGTTCTAAGATTGTAGAGAGAAGAAGCTAAAGAAGAACTCAAGCTTTTTGGAGTACGCGCTCGCGACTTTCAAGTACGCGCTCGCGACCTTGCAAGGCGCGCTCACGACTTATGTTTTCACGCACTTTTGGATTTCTTTTTCAATGCAATTGTATTCCTTGCTTCACTTATATGCCTCCAATCACTTTAACATCAAAATACAACATGAGACCATGTATCAAAACATCATGCAAGCATACAAATGATGTGAAATCAAATAAACATTATGATTTATGAACTATGAATATGATGTTGTGTTATATTGTTATATTATTGAACATACCAACTATTATTTGCTCCATGAGGTTAGGTAGAAACCATGTATGATAGGGCTATGTCGCGACATAGCGGATAGCAGATCTGCCACCTCTATACAGTTGGATACTCGGCTACAGGCCGTTGAGGAGATTGATTATATTGGGCCATAAGCAGCCAAAGCATACAGTATTCATCCAGTTTCATACAGTTTTTCTTATCACTTCGGTTTCACTATAAACCTTATGGAGCCAACAGATATTTGACATAACATTTCATCAATTTACGAGTATTATAAACAGTACAAAGGATAATCCAAGGTATCATGAAAGTATCCATGATGTGTGTGCTTATATGTGCCATATTGTGTTTACATGGTTCTTTCTACACATGTATGTGTTTCTTTGTTTTCTTTATCTGTTTGAAGATATCCACTGAGCTTAATTTGCTCAGCGAGTTACCTGTTTAACTCGCAGGTTTTTGAGATCTGGACAGTAGAGAGTCAGCTTACAAACCGCTGCAGTTCATTGTAGAAGACTACAAGTCTTCAGGGTAGCCTACTCATTTACGGATGTGTATTTTGTTTATCCCTTGTCTATGGCATGATACAGGGCACACAGTTGGGCCCATTCATGTTGTAAAACTTAGTATCATGTTTTGTAAAAATTATAAGTACATTATTTTTGTATTACGTATCAGCATTGCTATTATATTCCAATATACCATTATTGATTTCAGGCATTGTCAGACCATACAGGTCAACCGTTTCTGTAGCACCTCGGTCCGGTTCATTCGGGTTTACGGGTGGACCGGGAAGGGTGTTACACACCACGGATCAGATCACACCACGGATCAGATCAGACAAATTACCAATTAAGGGCTTCTATTATCATGAAAATAGCAATTGGTTACACTTGATTAATTCATAAAATTTGATAATTCATTCTATATGGAACAATTTTCTTCTCTAATAATAAAAAATAATTGATAATTTGCAAAAAGATAATTATTTCTTGTGTTATATAATATGAATTTTAATCTATGTAGCACGAAGATATGAAAACCCGAAACCAGGTATGAAAAATAAATTTAAATTCAAACTTACATGGTGGAAATTGTCTTTTATTAAAAAACATTTTTATAAACATGAATACGACCGGGTGTCTCAATGAAAATGGTAAGAATTAATAATTTGCAAACGTGATTATTTGTCATTATACATTGTTTATATCTAATAGTGAAATAATTAAAAAATGTGTTTACAATAGCTTTGTTAATAATTAGAAAATAGAAATTAAAAAATAAAAAATAATGGTTAAACCAATTGAGTGTTAATATAAAAATACCTTATTACTTTCCTTCCTTATTTTTTTCCTTCTTTCCTTCCTTATTTTTTTCCTTTTTTATTTTTTTTCCTCTCTTGTCCTTATAAAGTATAAGGAATGTTTGTTGGAGCCCCTTAGTGCTTGGAATCTAAGCTTGATTTTCATTGTTTGACAACAATTTAAAGCTTGATTCTATTTAGATTAGTTACTTGAAATCTAAGAAATGTTATAAATTAAAAATTGTGTCCTCTTGGTTAAATTTAAATATTAATCACTTCATTTTAATTATATTTCCTCGATCTGGATTTTATTTTCTTATTATTAACTTGTATATTGTGCGAAAGCAAAAGAACTGAAGGAAAAATAAATAAAAATTTTTAACTTTTATTAACTCAAGCTTTAAAATTTTTTAAACTTTTATTTGACTTCTTAACTTTGAAACTTTTTTAAAAATTATTGGCAAAAAAAATGAAAATAAATAAATAAAATTTCAGTATAAAAAATATGAAACTCCAAAGTCATAATATCTAGTAATTAAAAGAGTTTTTATTATTGGGCACTTATATTGAAGACAGAGAAATATGATGATAAGAAAACGACAATTCAGTGGCTGATGGGAGAGATATGTGTCCATGTATGGAAACTGAATTATGGATAAACTGAAAAGCAGAGAAGACATTTAGGATTTGGAATTAGGTTTTCTCGGTTGAAAGGGATTTTTTGACGAAAGCACCTGGTTTTAAAATTCTGTGTGCCAATATCATATCAACTGTGCTTTCTTTAAAATATTAGACCATAATTTCAGACAAATTTTTAAATTGTTTTTGTAAAATATCAAACAATTTCCATTAGGTATGAAGTTTATATAATAAAATACCAATTATTTTAATTGTCCATTCATATATTTTGCGTATAAATTAATTAGAGCTTTGTTAAAATGGTATAAATTGTGTCTGACACGATCTATAAACATTTACGATTACACTTTTAGTGTAACATTGGTAATATCTAAATTGCTAAAAAGTTTTATAATGGTGTTACAGTCTTTTCATTTATATTGGGTCAAGTTAATTAATATTTTGTTCATAAAAAATTTTATTCATATGTGAAATTGAGAATTAAATTTTTTTATATTTTGTTCATAAAAAATTTTATTCATATGTGAAATTGAGAATTAAATTTTTTTTCTAATTATTTTATATAAAATAAACTGTGATGTATTAATTTTAACTTGCTGATATGATCTCGTAAAATTATAAAATGTATATACGTGAATATAAAATATATGAGTAGTTTTTAATTTAAAAACCTTTAGAGTCAATTTTATTATATATATTGGGTAATTTAGAGTCAATTTTATTATATATATTGGTATTAACTATAGATATCTCTAGTCCACTGAACTATGATTAAATCATGTTTGCTTTGAATCAGTCTACTAAAAGGTAAAGGCTTACAGCGAATATTTGATCTATAAAAATTGAACTCTCGGTTCCATTTAAGGGAGAAAATGGAACTTATTATATACTCATTTCAATTTTTTGATAATCTTATTATATACTCAAATTATCAATGTTTAAGGTTTTTCTTATTCTATTTTAAGTGTTATTAAGACTTAATAAAAAATTTATTGCAATACTTTTTATCGTTATTTATTGCAACGCATCAATATTAAAGTAAAAATGTAAAAATTTGAGAAGGTAAAAGGGGATTGAGGTAATTTAAAATGAAAATTTATAAAATTGAAATAAATTAATATTTTTTTGTAAATATGAAAAGCTTAGAGTTGAGCTTGAGGGAGGGAATAAGTTGATAATGTTGATTGATTATATATATAGAGAGAGAAAGATAATGTTTGGTATTATTTAATTGTTTAGTTGAATTAAATAGTATCATTTTGTTATCACATTGACTTAAAAATTTAGCAATTTTATCCGATTTATAAAATTAACTTGACATTATATATGAATTACTAGTAATTTATGGATTGATTCTATTTAAAAAATTAATTTTGCAGGTGATTGTTTTAAAATTAGTGAAAAAATATTTATAAAATGCACAGCGGTGATCATAATTTAAATGAAATTAACCTATACGAGTACATGTAATATTATTAAAAATGTGATAGCTTCTGTTTTTATAAATTATAACATAACTCATTTTAATTCTAATGTTTGAAAAAGACAATAAAATAAAATATCTTACATAAAAAAAAAAAAAAAACTGCATAAAAAAAAAAAAAAAAAAACTGGGCTCGAAAAGTGTTTTTGATGCAAGGTTTTTACTGAAACTTCAAAAAAAAAATTAACAAAAAACAAGGTTACTGAGTAGAGAAATAAAAAAAAAAAAAAAACTGGTGCTCGAAAGTGTTTTGATGCAAGTTTTTACTGAAACTTCAAAAAAAATTACAAAAACAAGTTACTGAGTAGAGAAATTTTAATTTATTCTTAGACTGTAACCATTTTTAGCGGTAAAATCTCGTGTAAAAGTTTAGCACGTGCATAAAATTACTTGCAGTCAAAAAGCCGTTAAAGAGAAAACCTCGTATTTATCAATAGATTTGAGGATAAAACCGTAATTCCTGAACACGTCACAGACGGTCCGCAATCCTCGCCCCAGTGAGCCATTAAAAGGGAAGCTAATAGACATCTGAGTCGCTCTCTGTCTATTTATATGTAAATTAAAAAGAAAAAAGAAAAAAGAAAAATCCTCTTCTTTTTGCAAAACCTCGGTGAATATGCCTACTCTGCACGACCACCGCCACCACCACGGCGGTTCTCTGCCTCAACCACCACTTCCGAAACCAAACCCGAAAGTCCTATCTATGATTCTTAAATCAACAATAATGATCGCTATTACCACCCTTTTCTTCCTCTTCCTAGGCGTCGCGGCTATTCTCCTCCTACTCGCGACCGCCGCCCTCCACCGACACTCCGGCCCTTCCAATTCCACCAATGGACTGTCTTTCAAGGACCTGAAAAAGCTTCCTCAATTCAAAATTTCAAAGAAATCGAAGCCGGAAGCGGAAGCCGATTGCGTTGTCTGTTTAGATGGGATAAAGCAAGGTCAGTGGTGCAGGAAGCTTATCGGGTGCGGTCACGTTTTCCATAGGAAGTGTGTAGATGCATGGCTCGTTAAGGTCTCTGCTTGCCCTATCTGTAGGACAAGAGTCCATTTGGGTTCAGAGACTCTGGTGGAGGATAGGCCACTCTGGGGCTTTGGCTGGACTAATGATCCAAGGGTTTGGTAGATAATCGTGTAAGTTTTTTTTTTTTTTTTTTAATTTCCTTTCAATATTAACTTCTGAAATTTAACTTCTTTTTTTTTTAATTTGTAACATATTTAACTTATAATTTGGAATTGCCAAGTTGGTTTTGGTTTTTTAATTTTTGTTCATTGATTATGAAACCAGAAACTTATTTTAATAATCATACAAGGTTGAGGCCAATTATTTAGTTATTTTGGTTTTTTAATTGTTTGGAATATTTAGGATTTTGAATATTTTTTAATGAGAAAACCTTGAAATTTGTTAGGTAGAGACAACATTGAAGTCTCAATGAGCCATAATTGACAGAAGAAAGATGTTATTTAATTCTGCATATTGATGATCAAAGTTCAGGTTCTGCCAAATATCTGAATTGACTATCAAAATTGCAGAGGATTGGTTTAAATCCATTAACTAAATAGTAAATAATTATCTATGAATAATTATGTTATCCAACCAAATTGTGTTTATAAGGCAATTGAAAAATCAATTATCATATTGTTTGTTATTATCAATAACAATTGCGTTTAATGTGATTTCTTTAGCCTTTCTGGGATTTTTTTTTTCAAAGAAGGAAAATAAGTATTGAAAATATATGGAAATGTATTTTTTCTTATTTGGAAAAGGAAGAAAATATTTTAATATATAGAAAATATTTTTTCTTTTAGCTTGTAGTCCATAGTCCCTACCACTCAAGTTTTCGTTTTTACCCTCGAGTTCCAATATGGAGCAACAATGCAAAACCTTTATAAATCTCTCCCTTGTTGCGTCAGACATCACCAAAAGTTTTTCTACTAATAATAATTGACTTCCATTGGATATAAAAAAATATATATATATTTCGAAAAGATCTTTATTAGTTCACCAATTCCACAATCCTAATTCAACAAATATCGCATTTAGTGGATAATTACCTGAAATTAGCTGCCTGCCCAATTCCCAGCAGAAGCTGCTACAATTCATTTATTATAACAATGATGTTAGTCTTGTTCTGTCTATTCTGACGTTATGGTAAGTAAGAGTAGGAGATAGAAATTGTGTGATCTTCACTTGGACAGTTTAAAAGCAAGTTTAATTTCAATGTTGTTACTTGCTCTTAATGAATCTAGACTTTGGACTTAAAATTATAAGTTGGGTAGGTTTGGTTTGAAGTGTGACAATTCTAGGAACAGCTACAACAAATTCAGAAAGTGACTTGCTTTTTCTTATGTAAAATTGTTTGCATTTTGAAACATTTACTTGTAATTTTAAACTTGCAATTTTATTTTGTCTATCTAGCACATAATTTGTCAATGAGCTCAGTCTTGCTCTTATAAGAAGAGCCACCTACCTCCATTGCGTCCCTGGCTGCTTTCTCCAACTTTTGAGCCTTTTACCTTGTTTTTTGCCCCCTCTCTCCTCCCATCAATTCTCTTGCTCCATCACATACACCCTTTATTTCTATCGACATTGTTGCCCATCCTGACGGCCTGCCCATTTCAACTCTCAATCCTGCCTCTATTTCCTCCACCACCTGCTTTGCATTTAATGGTTGCTCGGCGTTCATGGGCAACGCCAACAGTGGAACTCCCATTGATAGGCTCTCCAGAACCGAATTCCAACCACAATAGCTCAGAAACCCACCAATAGCAGTGAGCTAATATCTGTCTTTGCTCCACCCATTCTCTAACTATTAACCCCCTTCCTTTTGCCCTGTCCTCTAACCCGTCCGGCGGAGACCATATTCTCGACCTAATCACCCATAAGAAACGGTGACCAGACATCTCCAATCCTGTACCAATCTCATCAAAATCTCGTCAGATAAATGTGCTTGTGAACCAAATGATACATATATAGCTGATGCTGGCCCAGAGGCATAAACATCAAGCCAATTTATGCAATTGGCAGATAATGGACTTATATTTTGTTTATCAATAGTCTCTTTATTGTATAAAATGGCAGGTCCTACGCACCATGCTTTAGCTCCATTTTTATAAAAGCTCTCAAAAAATGACTCTGTGTTTGCCTTCCAATTCCTCAAAACTGTTAAGAACTATCCCCCAGCTTTCAATATCAGCCTCTCCTGACTCGGCCGTGAATTTTGCAAAAGGCGAATCATCTTCCAGGAACCTAAAGTTCTCTGGCAAGTCCAATTTGGTCAATAAGAATTTGAGTTGTGCTTCTGACAAGCAAAATAGGCTTACTCCCAGAATCTATGCTTCGGTGTAGCTTATGCTTCCACACTGATTTTGCTATGGCCATAGATAGTGCACCGATTCCATGGAAGACAAGCCTAGGAATATTAAACTCGCGACAAGTTTCTACTGTCCATCCTAAGAAGAAGTCTGAGATTACACAAATGGGGCAACATTTATTTTCCAGCATTCCTGAAGAACATTATAAAACGGCTTTTGGAGTTTCTTTGTTGCGTTCACGAAGGGGACAAGGAACTCAACAGAAGGGAGTTGAGCAGTGTTCTGGCAATTCTCCGGAAGGCCATTGATGGGAGGGAATGGGATTTCTATAAGATGGATTTGTGGGTAGTTACAACTATGGGGGAAAATAAAGGAAGCATTCAATGGAGTGGTGATGATAGTGATTTTGATTCCAAGTCGCGAAAATACCTTGGAAATGTCTAGGATTGGAAGAATATGGCCTAATGACATGAATGGGAAGACAACTATATGGGGTCTTGCTGCTTTCGTTTCTGAGGAAGCCATTTATGTGCTTCTTGAGAATGCAGGAGACATTTTATAGGTGATTGTGTATCTGAGAATTCAAGGGAGTGAAATTGATCGATATTAGTGGATGTTATTGGCAGGGACAAGCAACTATTCAAATTTTCTTTGCAACTCTTCTCTTAGGATACGGTTGTGTCGAGACAAATATTTGGCAGCATTCTGTGGGCATTATTGTAACTTGATATCGATTTATTGCTTGTTTCTTTTTGGAATTCCTCAAGAGGAAAGTAGTTTTAGGAATTAAAACTAAATGAATTTCTTTTATAAATCATCTGTTATAACAATTTCATGTATTTTTATCATATAAAATAAATATTGATGTTAAATAGATAAAGGTTTTGAATTTTTTTTTTTAAATTAAATAGATTTAAGTGATTAGTGAAATGTAAAGACTATATCCTTTAAATGTTTAACACAATATATCAACGTGATATTTATCAATTGATAGTTGGCATTAAAGATTGAAGCATCAGAAATGTAACATTAATTGTTAATCTTTAGATATTTAAGACGAGACCAATCCATGAGTCAGTGTATTCATTCTATTCGTTGAATAAGCTTAGAACAATCTTTTTTGAGCCCAAGTCTTGTTAGGATTTGACCCGCAATTAGGGTTCGAGCGTTACATCAATTCAGTGAATTTGAGTAAAATTTTAATCAAAATAAATTTATTAATTTTTTTATGTAATCGAATTAATTTTTTAATCGAATTGTTTTGGCCGAATTAATTTTAAATATTAACCAAACCGAAGTTAAAGAAAATAAAAACTCAATAAACCGACTTTAACAAAAAAAAATCAAAATTTTAATCACTTATTAATCAAAATAAAAACCGAAATATTTTTAATTTTAAATTTTATTATCTACTTAATCAAAACAAGTCAGTTAATTTAATTAATTCAGTTAAATAACCTTTTAATCGAATTTTTAACTGTAAAAATTTAATATTTTTAACTGAACATTTATTAACAGCTACAATATTCACCTCTACCGGACCAAGCTCAATTTGACTTGAATCAGATCTGGATCTACATTATCCATTTAAACTGTCAAAGTCTGTTGGTAAGTATGGGCTCAATTGAGGTCTAAATAAAAACATTTTTAAAATTTTTATTCGGCATAATTGAAAAAATCTTTAGTCCAATCAAGTCCGGCCCCAGACTTTGAAGAGTTCTATTTCTCCCGTTGAATTTACTAATAGTGTTCTAAACTGATCATCCAAATATAAGTTAAGTTTGGACTTAAAACTACAATCAAATCTTTTCCCCTAAAATGGAAATGACAACATATATTACCTAAATGTCACGAATTTAACAATATCATAATTTCATTGCCTCTTTCATGCATGCCCAACGAAACGGTCCATAAATAGGCTTCTTTATATAGTAACGTACGACAACCTAAAAGACAAGTATCGATGTTCACCAAGTATAAATAATGTACTACTAATTAGCTCAATCCCTAACATCCGACAAGGCGTTTAGCTGTTTATCCTATTTCCTAGACGGCCTCTGTTGAGACTTTTTCTTTAAATCTTGGGGTCATTTCAGTAAATTCCAAACATCAAATTTCTCCTCATAGCAACAATCGAAAGCTGAGAACGCTTCGATCTCTCAACTTCGTCTTCTCCAACGCAAAATGTCTGAACGAGTCTCAAGTTCTTTCGATCAAATTAACTCTTGCTGTCTGAAAACCTTAATAGATTCCCTCAAAATTATCCAGAGAAACAAACATATTTACTTTTCCATTTTTGCCTTCCTCTCCCTCCCACTTTCTCTACTTCATTTCTCTCTCACCCTTTCCTCTTACCCGATCAAATCCCAAATTCTCCATCTCGAATATCTCGCGACCCGAACCCCGACCCGATTCGAAGCTCGCCAGGTGTGGAGGGAGTCACGCGAAGTTGCCATCAATCTCCTCCACCTCAAACTCCTCTACTTCTTACCCTGTTATCTTTTCTCTCTCATCGCCGCCATTACCGTCGTTGTCTCCACCGAATCCGTCTATAATAAAGGACCCACGAGTATAAAACTTGCTTTCGCCGCCATTAAGCCCATTTGGACCAGACCGGTGGTTACTTCAATTTGTATCTACGCTATTCAGATCTTGTACTCTGCTGTACCATACACTCTAGCAGCTGTGATTGGAAGCTCCAGTTCAAGGCTTAGATTTGTGATATGGGTTATCGGCTTGGGTGCTGAATTGTATATAATAGCGGTTTCGGAGATAGGACTGGTGGTTTCGATCGTGGAGAGGAGATTCGGATGGGATGCGATTCGCGTCGGGTCGGATTTAATGGAAGGGAGGAGGATATTCGGGTGGGTATTATGTGGTTTAATGGCAGTGTTGACTGGCGGAATTGGGCGAAGAATGGAGGGCTTGATGGTGCTGGAAAGTGAATATTTGGCGGAGGAGCCGAAATGGACGGTTAAAGAAGGATGGGAGAAGGCGGCCGCGGTGCTGGTCGTTCTCTATGGGGTGGTTGTGGTCTGGGGTTTTGTCGTCACTACCGTTTTTTATTGCGAGTGTAGGCAACGGCATGTCGTAAGAGAGGAGGAGCAACAACTAGAGAGTATTGATTGTTGAAATTCTTTTCTTAAAATTTTATGTTGTTGTAATAGCAAAAGGTCAAAATCGGTGGAAGTCAAATTTCCAATAGTAAAGGAAGTTTCATTGGTTGTATGTTTGTATGGAAAATTTTATTTATACAAATATTTTTTGAACAATAAGATGCACCCTATTAAATTTGTACAATGCTCTTCTTGTGTGATCCCATGTAATACAAACAATATTCTCTTTAAAGTTTTTATACTGTCATTAAAATTAATTATCTTAATGATAATAAAATATTTATTAATTTAATTAAATTATTTTTTTATATGTAAACCAACAGTACCCGGACACATTATTGGGGACCATCTAATCCGGCTCTGATCATAGTGAGAATTAATACTCTTGGCCTCTTTCTGCAGGGGCGTACTCTTGGCTTCTTTCTGCAGGGGCGTTTAGTGAGGATCGAACTCGAGAGCTCTTTCTACATCTCCAGTCTGAATTGCCAACTGAATTACAATTCGTAAGTAAATTACTTTCTTATTTCATATAATTACTTTCTTATTTCATATAATTACTTCAATGTCAATATTTTTTTTATTAATCTGCGACTAAAATTGAAAGAGAAAAAAAAGGATGTGTTAAGATAAATTATAAAAAATTATTACAATAATTAATGCGTTTAGTAAGATAAAGGTAAAATTTGAGAAATATTAATTAATACTCTTTAATCTTCTGAAAGCGAAATATAATTCTAACTCTTAAAAATTAGGAGCAGATGAAGGGAGTAATTTCTTAATTAATATTTGATGTAATGTATTTTCACACATAGTAGCTAATATTCGCATTTTTAGATTCTCGAACCTCACCTTACAGGCCTTGTAGTAGGTAAAAATTCGATCTGTATATTTTCACATCCAACCAATTGATTATTAAATATATTAAAAATTGTTTGGTTTAATTGCTGATAACTAATAGTTGTTAGCTTATAAATTTTAATTTTTCTATAAAATTTTAGTAAGGATTGTTGTTAAAGTATAAAATAATCATTAAGGCTATAAATTATTTCATAGTTATTATGTATCATATATTTTTAAAGTAAGTATATTATTTTCTATTTTAGTTTGTTGTATAGATAAAATTTTAATTAAATTTTTAAATAATCATAAATAAAATGATTGTATAAATATATTAATTTGGTTATTACTTTTATAAGTTTAATATAATACAAATATAATATAAATACAGATTAATTAGCAATAAATAATAAAAGCTCCACGCTGATAAATTATTTATCAAACACCCCTAGTCTACTATTACCTTTAGGGTATGAGATGGGTTCTTCTGCAATGGCAATAATTCAAGCTGATTTTTTAAATTATTATATTTTAATCCTATTAAATTATGATATTAAGAGTCCATTCAAGGAGAGTCCGGCCCAATAGGTAGAGAAACCCATTGGGGCTGGGGGGTGATAACTTATACCTAAGATTTTCGCTTATAGAGTCTGAGATGGTCGATCTTTTTAATTAATAGAAAATTAATATTTATAATATATTTTAGAATATTTAATCAAAATCAGATAAACTGTTAGATATTCAAAGCATAGGAACATCCATTGTACTAAAAAAAGGATGATTGTCTAAATTAGGATAACCATGCCAATGTATCAACCTTAAATATAATAGCATGGTTGTTGTAACCAAAAAGAGCCTTCATTTTACAAGAAAGATGAAAATTCCTATACCATACAAAAGAATTTGTTAAACAGAAAATGTTTTGGTAACCCTAAATTATTGGAAAAAGACTCTAAATATAAGAATTTTTGGAGTTTGTTATTCTGTCTGAAACTATATAAATAATCATCTCCTAAAATGAAATAAAACATCTTGTAGTTGTTTTTAGAAATAAAACCTTGTAGCGGCTATTGGAGATAATTATCACGTGATAGTTTTCTCGTGATAATTGTCTCTGATAGTTGCATTTCTGCAAGGTGAATAATCAATTTTCTAGTAATTCAAGCAACCACCAATGGAGAAATTTGAAATGGAGAAGCAAGAAGATGACAAGGTATTGGGTTAAATTAAAATTTTTGTTTCATAGTTAAAAGGTTTTCATTTCGAGTTTATTTATATTGGTTATTTGTAATAAATTTAAGAGAATTATTTAAATATCGTATAACTCATTATATTATTTTACAGGATGAGAAACTATTGAGCCCATTAGTAAGCAACGGTACTCGTGACATTCACGGGAAAGTAGCAGATAAACGAAAAACTGGAAGATGGAAAGCAGCTTCATTCATCATTGGTCAATTCTTGACCAAACTCCATATTTTATAATGCTTTTTTTTTTTTTTTTTTCATAATCTTATGCTTTTGTTTCAATTACAGTGAGTCAGGTTGCAGAAAATGTAGCTTATATTGCAATAGCAGTGAACCTTATTACGTACCTCATAACCCAAATGAAACTATCACTTCCAACCTCTGTTGCTTTAATGTCTACTTGGGCTGGACTCGGCAATATGTTAACTGTAGTTGGAGCAGTTCTAGGAGATGGTTATTTGGGTCGATTTCAGACTGTTCTTCTCGCCTCTTGCTGCTATATGCTGGTAATGCTACGATAAAGTTAGATTTAATAGCACTAAATTAATACTATTTGATCATAGTTGTAGTTAAAATCCATGTTCATTGATTTTTTTTTTTTCAGGGACTCTTGGTATTGACACTTTCGGCTTCCATAGATAGCCTCCGACCACCGCCATGCAAAATAGAACCATGCCAAACAGCAAGTGTTGGTCAAATTTTATTCCTTTGTGCTGGATTAGGGCTTCTGGATCTAGGTACCGGTGGTCTGAAGCCATGCATCCCATCATTTGGAGGCGACCAGTTCGATGAGGCAGACGAGAAAGAGAAGGTGCAGAAATCTTCATTTTTTGATTGGGTGTATTTTTCCCTTAATATGGGTGCACTCTTTAGCGTGACGGTAGTTGTTTATGTACTAGAGAAAAAGGGATGGAGTTGGAGTTTTGGCTTGCTTACTGCCGCTACGTTTTTGTCTATAATTATTTTAGTTGTTGGTCTACCTTTTTACCGTTTCCAAAGAACTACAGGAAGTGCTTTCACAAGGTTTCTTCAAGTTATTGTAGCTTCTTTAAGGAATCATATGAAAGGAGCTCACGTTGGGGATGGAACTCAACTTTATGAGCTGAAAACACCTGAATCTGACATTAAGGATGCTCCAAAACTCCCTCACACCCAACATTTGAGGTGAGTATAATGACAGAGAAACTCGTTCTTATATAAATTTGAGCTTATATAAACCTGTTAAAATCAAAAATTCACGTTCTTTGTGTAGATTCTTGGACAAGGCAGCCGTCAGGATTGACCCTGAAGCCGACACAAACAGTCGTTGGAGACTTTGCACAGTAACTCAAGTAGAAGAGCTTAAGTGTCTTATTAGAATTTTCCCGATGTGGATAATTGGGGTTTTAGGTTCTGTGTCCTATACTCAGTTTACAACATTTTTCATCGGTCAAGCCAAAGTAATGGACAGACAGATTACCTCTAACTTTGCAATCCCAGCAGCCTCCACTCCCATTATTTTTGCCGTTAATGCCATCGTTCTTATACCCCTCTACGACAATGTAATTGTCCCTGCCCTTCGCAAGTACACCGGCAACCCTCATGGGATCACCACATTGCAACGTATAGGTGTTGGCTTTTTTGTTTCAATCCTCGCTTTAGCCTCTGCTGCTATAGTGGAAAGACAAAGACGCGATACTGTCAACTCTACCCATACAAATATGAGTGTGCTTTGGTTGCTCCCGCAATTCATTTTACTAGGCACAGCAGAAATGCTGGCTTTTGTGGCTCAAATGGAGTTTTTCTATAGTGAAGCAACTGTTGGAACAAGAAGTATTAGCAGTGCAGTATTTCAAACTCAACTTGGAACCGCAAATATATTGAACGGTTTGATTGTCAGTATAATTACCAATGCAACCGGAGGAGAACGAAAAGGCTGGTTAAGGAATGATCTTAATCATAGCAAACTTGATTACTACTACTGGATATTGACTGCTCTTAATGGGTTTAGTTTCTTGATTTATATGTGGCATGCTTCTCACTATAAAGGAAGAAGTGGTTCTGTAAATCCCAATAGTGTCAAACCTGTAAATGAGGTAGAAGATACACAATAGTAAAATAAGTGTTATATTACTTTCTCATCTTTGCTAATATTATTATCCATAATTATATTGCAACTATGAATTAAACAATAAATAACATGTGTAAGAAATTTAGTGAATGATCAGAACGTTAGAAATTTCATCAGTAAAATATTATTTATGAAAAAGAGTAACTACAAACTCTAAAATGAAATTAGTCTCATGAAAAACAGCGTGATAGCTATAAATTCTAACAAATTAATACAGGAATACTTGAACTCAAATCACTTGCTTAAGATGACTGAGCCTTTTTCCTTCGGACCAACTCACGTTCGTTAAACTAGATTTAATATTTTAGTATGCTATGAAAAACATCATAACTTATCTTCTTATCCTAAAAATACAGAGAAATTTATTTGCATGTAATAGTCCACGTTGACTATTATCACTTGTAATTGTTCTGGCTTTTTCAACATATGATTACATCTCTTTTTCCTCAAGCAAGTCATTGAATAAGAAGTGAGAAAATTTTCAGGTTGGACCCAAAGCAGGAACCTTCCTGTAATTATATATCATGTGGTCCATACACAAGACTAGTAAAATTAATAAAAATCCATAGAGACTTTTCTCAACCTTGCTAATAAATTACAAGGAAAAGACCAATGCAAAAATAATATACTACAATGAACGCGTAAATAATATAAGTACATGAGCTTTTATGTGCTCGGAGAAGAGAAACTCCAAAAGCCAAAAGCCAATCAAAACATTTCACAATCTAAGTCCGATGGAGTTTTTCTTGTTATTCTCAGGGTTTTTGGGAACACTAAGAGAAACCCCAAAAATCTTCTTCAAAAATGGGAAGTTAATGGCTTCCATTACCTTAACCACTCTTGTTCTTTACTCCCTCATCTATTTGCCCAATATCTTCTCCATTAAACTCTTAACGAGATACCTCCTCAAAAAAGAACAACTTGTTCTTCTCTCAACTCCCGCTAGCCCGGAATTCAACACTATTCTTTTTCATTTGAAACAAGATTTAGGAATTTTCATTGAAGTGCAATGGACTTACCTCATTATAAGCTCAGTTTTTTCCCTGTTCTTATCGACTGTCACAATTTTCGGATCTGCCGTCATCCATGAAGGGAAGGGCTCAATAAGCTTCAAGAACTTGCTATTGAAATCATTAAAATCATGGAAAAGGCCACTCGTTACCTGGTTTTACACAACTCTTTTAGGTTCAGGCTTTTTTTGCCTTTTCTCTTTGATTGTATTGCCTTTGGCGCTAATAGTCCAGACAAGTACATTTTATGTCTTTCTTATACTGCTAGCAATTCCTGCCTCAATTTTATATGTCCACATGAGTGTCGTTTGGACATTAGCTCTTGTTATTTCTGTTCTTGAAGAAATTTGTGGAAATGAAGCAATTGGAAAGGCTGCACAAATTGTTAAGGGTATGAAGATACATGGGTTTCTTCTAAATCTTATCTTCACTGCAATATTTTCCATTTTGGCTGAAGGTATGAGATGGATTGGTATTCCAGAAGCTATGACGAGTTTCAAGTTGATATTTGGGTGTATACTGATTATTTCTATTAGCTGCCTTGTTATGATAGTTCGGTTAGTGGCATATACACTCTTCTACTTTCAATGCAAGAAGACACATGGAGAAGAGGTTGAATTGCAAGTTAATGTAGGATATAGTAAACTGGCCACTAATGCTTCATTACTTATTGGTGAAAATGTTCCTTGATTCATGCAACGGAATTGAATATTGAAAATATTTCGTTTCTAATTGCTTATTTTAGTTGTTGTATTTATTTGATTTTGATTTATTTGTATTTACACCACAATTGCATTTTGTGGGATCCATCAATTAAATGCAGCAAGTTACTTTTCAGAAAATTCCCAGATCAGATAATAGTTTCACGGACTCCCTTGCAAAACGAAGAGTTCACAGATCATCAGATTTCGAAGCTATCCTGTAGGATGTTTTCCCAGCATTTAGTCTTGTTCGTGAATGACAGCAGCCTGTAATCTCTACCTATGTTCTGCAGGTTTTTCTTTAAAAATGCAAGATATAGGTTGGGACTATGGGGTAGAACCTGTCGGTTCTGAGATTAGTTTCCTGCAGTTTTTTGAAGTTTTTCCTGCAATTTCTTAACAATAATAAAATAGATTCTGCTGATAAAAAAAAAAAAAAAAGTGAAAACCAAAGATTTTAATAGTTCAAAACATAATGGCACAAGTTCTTTCTTTTATTATCAGCAAAAATCATATTCTCTTGGTCCATAATTTTGTTCTACTTTTCTTTTTTCATCCCTTCCATATTATTGTCTTGTTTGTAAGTAAATAATATTTGAAGTTTACTATTTTATCCTTATCTAATATGTTTCTTTGTCAACAACTATAATAATCAAACTACTATATTAGCATTAATTAATATTGATATAAACAAAATTAACATATCAATCATTGATATTCCAAAACAAGTATATTTAATCAAATGTTTGATTAATTTTAAGAACAATTTAATATGAATTATTTAATTTTTATAGATACTAACATAAGGATATACTAGGAAAAAAATAAATCAAAAATTATAGTTTAATCATATTAATTAAATTCTCTTAATACATGTGCAAATCAATCCGACACACACAAATTATGAGACCGAGGAACTATTATTATTATTATTATTTTCAAACAAAACTTAATATATCTAAGCACTAGATTATCGACCTACTAGGTTCTTTATTTACAACCAAAATTATTTCAGATATATTAAGTGATACAATGTCTACTCAAAGAGAGTGGAACTAAAATAATCTAGGCAAAAGAAGGAAAAAAAAACACATCTAGCCACATGTCTGATAAGAAGGATTTGTGGCCACAATCAATTGTCTCTGATGTAGTTGAGCAGAAAACGACAGATCTTGCAATTGACATATGAAAGCAACTTGATAAGAGGAGGCCCCTCTTTTCTTGTTGTCGTTCACTCATATATTATCCTAAAAAAAAATAAGTAAAATGAATTAACTTGTAACAATAGCCAACGTTGACTATCATCACTAGTAATAATTCTTTTAATAATTGCAAAGTTGTTCTCAGCTTTCCATTCATGAATTATTTGCTAATTTTTTAATTCATTTTATCTTATTTAATAAGGAGTTGGGAATTTCCAGCTAGCCTGAATCCATATAGTATGAACCTTCCTGTAACATCATATGCTCAATGCTAGTAAAACTAATCAAAATCCCCTAGATTTCAAACTTGCTAATTAATAATACTACAGGAGGAGACCAATTCAATTCAAAAACGACATAGTTCAATGAACGCGTAAACGAGTATAGAAGCTTAATTATATATATTCTTTCCATCACAAAAAGGCAATCAAAATATCAAAACGTTTCAAAATTCAATTCCAATGGAGTTATTTTTACAGTTTCTGGGAACACTAAGAGAAACCCTGAAAATCTTCTTCAAAAATGGGAAGCTAATGGCTTCCATCACCTTAATCGCTCTGGTTCTTAACTCCCTCCTCTATTTGGTCCAATTCTTCTCCATTAAAATTTTGATCGGAGACTCTTTCAAAGAACAAAACCTTGTTCTTGTTTCAACTCCCGGTAGCCCGGAATTCACCAATGTTCTTATTTATTTTATACCGGAATTCACTAATGCTCTTATTCATTCGAAACAAGATTTAGGAACTTTCATCGGAGTGCAATGGACTTACCTAGCTATAAACTCAATATTTTCTTTATTCTTATCAACTCTCACAATTCTTGGATCGGCCGTAATCCATGAAGCAAACGACTCAATAACCTTCAAGAACCTGATACTGAAATCACTAAGATCATGGAAAAGGACTTTTGTTACTCTGTTTTATACAATTGTAGGGTTTTCTAGCATGTTCTTTTTGTTTATATTTCCTCTATCACTAGGTGTCAAAACTACTACTAGTTACACATTTTATGCTATACTTGTTGCAATTCCTTTCTTAATTTCATATCTCCAGATGGGTATAGTTTGGACATTAGCTCTTGTGATTTCTGTTCTTGAAGAAATTTGTGGACTTGAGGCTATTAGAAAGGCTGCGCAAATTGTTGAGGGCATGAAGATAAATGGGTTTCTTCTAAATCTTGTCTTTACTATAATATTTTCTGTCGTGATTCAATGTATAAGGTGGACTGGTATTCCTCAACCTACGGAACCTTTTAAGTTGCTTATTGGGTATCTAGTGATTAATTCTATTAGCTGCCTTGTTAGGACAGTTTGGTTAGTGGCATATACCCTCTTCTACTACCAATGCAAGAAGACACATGGAGAAGAGGTTGACTCGCAAAAAAGTGTGGAATATAGTAAAATAGCCACTAAAGCACCATTACTCATTGGTGAAAACATCCCTTGATGTGTATAGATATGCTAGGAGGGAATTGAAGATTTTTCATTTTCTTGTAATTTTTATGACTTTTTTTTTTATCAGCAAAATAAATTTGTTATTTATTATATGATTCAGGAAAAACTTAACCTTCAAGGATAACCCACAGAAACCCAACCTAATTCTGGAATGTTAAGTATGAAAATCTGGAGAAGCTCAGATAACATAGATAACATAGAAAGACAATGAGAAAGTAAAAATCCATAACTAGAGAGCTAAAATTGTTTAAACCTCTTGAGGTAGGAGATTTAGGAAATAAACAAAACAAAGATTACTGATTTTTCATGAATCTTGAAAAGCACGATGCATAAAGTTTTGCTGCTTGAATTGTTTTGTTTCAAATATTAACGTTTAACTTAATAGTTTTGACAAAATTCTACCCAAAGTAATAAAATATATTTAATAGTTATATTTTATTAATCGAGCTTGTTGAGTGCTAAAATGTTCCTAAGTTGAATCCATACATTGAAAGAGCCCAAAATTTGAATATATTAATTATGTATATAAAAACACGAGAGATGTAAAATCAACCGGTATATTTTCGGGTTAGGTTAGATTTGTTTGGGGTGAGTCTATTGTCTCGAGATTATGTGTATGAAAATATTAATTTTTTTTCTGGATTAATAAAATAATTAAATTGCCTATAAAAAAATATATGCTTCACCCTGAATAATTTCACCATACATTTTTTTATTGCTAATTGTTTGAAATTTATGAATTTAAATTTAAATTTTATGTTTAAAATTGAAAGAAATTAATTAATTTTAAAGATTTAATATTTTAAATGACTAATTATTGGAATGAATTTTTTGAGATAAATAAAAAAACAAGCTAGCTAAGTCAAATGGGGATGGCTACAACAGAAGACTTGACCAAGTCAGATTCTTTATTGCTCTAACGCCGTATCCAACAGAGGAGAAACTTCTGATTTCTGCCCGGCAAAGGCCTGATCTTTTTTAGCCTTTCATCAATTAACTTTGGTCCAAATGTTTTGCTCATATATATAAAACATAAAAAAAAATAAAAAAAAAACTATGTGTTCAATAGATGGAATTGAAAATAGGGGATAATATTTCTCACTATTATCAAAATTTTAATTTGACCGTTTAGATGAAAGCTAATTTGGCTAAAGAAATATAGCAATGACAGAAATTTTATTACTATAACATGTAAAAATGGGTATAATTAAAATTTTAATTAAATTAAAATTAGCTCGAATTCAAATAAAAAGACCAATAGATCAAATTAAATATTAAATTTCGACGGACAAAAATAAATCTCTTTCACCCTAAAAAAACATAAAAGAAGAAAACGACAGATTTTGAATTTAGTTTTGTGCGTACAAATTGATCTATTGATATCAAGTTTTGTCATCAACATTTCCCTTCTTTGTGATTGCCATTTGCCCTTCTCTATATCATCACCATATATTTTGTTTTACTTGTTATTATAATTATTAAGATTGAAACACCGTATTTCACAAGGTAGAAAAATGATTGATAATATTATTTTTCAAAACTTTGAAAATGACTATATATATATAATGCATTAGGTTTCAAGTCTGTGTAATTGCTAATTGGACTGAGTAATCAAATCCATTAATGTTTTTTCTTTTATGGAAACAACAAACAAGTCCTTACAATATTTTTCCACAGACGTGAAAATTAAGTTTGAATAAACAAAACCTAAACGCGTATACTATTTCTAATATTTTCAATATAAATATAGAATGGCTCTTATTAATTATAATCATTCATCACTCATCGTACTACAATGGAATCCCTTACCCTTCTTGGTTTCATAGGAATTCTAAGAGATGCCCTAAAAATTTTCACCAAAAATGGAAAAATCATTGCCTCTATAATCCTTTTCACCCTCTTCGTCAAGTCCTTACTATTCTTGACCAACCTCTTCTCTATCAAGCCATTGATCACTGACATCGCCTTTGAAAAATTCCTCCTCCATTTCACCACTCCCGGCAAACCGGAATTCACAAATATTTTCAACCACATAATAAAAGATATCAAAATAATTTTTGGAATCGAAATAACCTATATTATTTTCGACTTCGTTTCTATTTTACTATCTTCAACCGCTACCATCCTAGCCGCGGTCATAATCCACGGCGGGAAGCAAGAACACTTGCCAGTGAAGGAATTATTGTTGAGAACAGTAAAATCATGGAAAAGACCATTGGTTACATGGTTATATATATTTCTCTTCAGTCTAGTTTATGTTTTTATCTTCGTGGCAATTTTATTTCTGGGAATACAAATAACAAACCATAACCCTATTTTCTCAGCTATTTTTGCCATTGTTCTTGGAATTTCAGCTTCAATTTTGTATATACATCTATCAGTCACATGGACACTAGCCATTGTGGTATCGGTAGCAGAGCAAATAAGAGGTTTAGAGGCATTGGGAAAAGCTGCACAGATAGTTGAGGGAATGAAACGACAAGGGTTTCTGCTGAATCTTGTGTTTACTATATTAAGTTTGATTATGGCACAAGGAACAAGGCTAATTAGTTCGAGGAAATCATTTGTACTTGCAATAATTTTGGCTTTGGTGATAATAAATGTTGCAAGTCTTGTCAGGATGTATTGTCTTGCTGCTTTTACTGTGTTCTACTACAGGTGCAAGAAGACTCATGGAGAAAATGTTGAATTGGAAGGGATTGTTAGCCCTAATGAGTATCGTAAGATACCTACTACTGCTCTTCTTGTTAGTGATGATAATATACCATAGATATTTAATTTCCTTATTTTCATGTAGTAATTATGAGTCACAAAAAATAAATAATTTCCTATCTTCTTTTGCTATGATACAAGCAAAGGTCTATCTTTGCTTATGTGTGATTTGGTCCTTATTAATTGGTAACAATATATGTATGTATGCCTTGATGATTCTTGAAGTGTTTCTAAGATAATACACAAAGTTTAAAGCTTGAAAATTCAATTAAGATGTCGTCTACTTCGTTTTCTTATTCTCTTCTTTCATTTTTCTTTTTATGTTAAAAAATATGAGGACCAAGAGATTTTGCATTTCATTTTTTCTTTTTATGTTAAAAAATATGAGGACTAAGAGATTTTGCATTTCATTGCTAATTAGAGTGAGTGTTTTTAGAAATTTAATGAATTTTTCTTATCAGCAAAATTAATTAGTTTATTATTAAAAGCTAAGAAAAACTTAATAAATTTAAGATATCTAGCCCATGTTATCAAGCTTACCTATAAATTCAAGTTCTAGCTTAGAAATGTTAGGTTAAAAAACCTAAAAAAATCTCATCATACATGAAATAAGATCTCACTAGAAATATGTTATCATTTTTCGCTTTTCGCGAGCTATGAAAAATAAAAACAGAATATAATCACAAAAACAGCACCAGGTAACTTCCAAGCCCAAGCTAATAGGCTTTCCCCCTCACACCCACAAGACTTATCCCGTAGATGCAGAGTAAAAAACCTACAGTTTAATTTAAAACTGAAAAATTACATTAGATCATCAAAACAGCCACAAACAGCAGCAAATTCGATAACAAAAAGCTGTCGAATAAGAGAAAAAATTTGATTTCTATGACAATCTTCCTTTCATGAGGGAGGAAGATTGCAGTAATCTTTGAAATAGAGTCATTACTTGCAGAACAAGCGCTAGGAGCAATTAATTAAGATATAAAATAGACTTTCCTTTATTTTCTCTATAAAATATTTATCTGATAACCATTAATAAAGACTAATTATTGTGTGACTTAGACTTGGTTGCCGTAAAGACTTCGACAAGTGCAGAAGAATAGTCAATTCCTAAACGTATACTTATTCATAATTCAGTCAATATAAATACAGAGTGTCTCTTATCATCACTGTCAAGAGTCATTCTGCTACAATGGAATCACTTACATTTCTAGGTTTGATAGGAATTCTAAGAGAAGCCCTAAAAATCTTCACCAAAAATGGAAAACTCATGTCCTCTGTAGCCCTTCTCAACCTCTTCATCCAGTCCTTTCTATTCTTGGCCAATCTCTACTCCATCTGGACAGTGATCTCTGACATCGTCTTCGAAAAATACCTCCTCCATCTTACCAGTCCCGGTACACCAGAATTCACAAATATTTTCAACCACATAAGGAAAGATATCAAAATAATTCTTGAAATCGAAATAATTTATGTTATTCTCAACTCCATTTCTTTTCTATTATCAGCAACGGTTACTATCTTGGCCGCAGCCATAATCCACCGCGAGAAAGAACACTTGTCACTTAAGGAACTATTGTTGAGAACGCTAAAGTCATGGACAAGGCCATTAGTTACCTGGTTATATGTGTCTCTGTTTGCCCTGGTTTATATTTTCATTTTCTTGGCAATTTTATTTCTTGGAATAAAAGTATCAGATCATAACCCTATTTTATTAGCTGTTTTTGGTTTTGTTCTTGCATCTTTAGCTTCCATTTTTTATATATATCTATCAGTCACGTGGACATTAGCCATTGTCGTTTCGGTGGCAGAGCAAATAAGAGGATTAGAGGCATTGGGAAAGGCTGCACAGCTAGTTAAGGGAATGAAACGACAAGGGTTTCTGCTAAATCTTGTGTTTAGTACATTCAGCTTGATTATAACACAAGGGACAAAGTTAATTAGTTCGAGTAAATCATTAGTTCTTGCAATAATTTTAGCTTTGGTTATAATAAATTTTGCAGTTCTTGTTAGGATGTATTGGCTTGTAGCTTTTACTGTGTTCTACTTCAGGTGCAAGAAGATTCATGGAGAAACTGTTGGATTGGAAGGAATTGTTTGCTCTGATGAATATAGTAAGACACCTACTGGTAGTGCTGCTCCTCTTATTACAGATAATACTATACCATGATTTTCATGTAATAATTATGAGTTAAAATTTTCAAAAATAAATAATTTCCTATTTTTGTTTTGTTTTGGTACAAATCCAGATCTATCTCGTACACTACTATTTTGTATAATTGCTGCAATTATATTAGACTCTATTGAGAGTGTTTTGTTCCTTATTGTTGATAGGTATATATTTAATTTTCATGTATTATTAGCTGAAAAAAAAAATAATCTCTTTTCTGTACAAGCGATCAAGCATACCAATCTATGCTTTGGCTAAATAGGATTTCTTGCAAAGCCATGGTTTCTGGCTCGGGGTTTAGCTTGCTTTGTTCCTTATCTATTTCCTTTTAATCCCTTCTCATAGATAAGAAAAGATTTTTTTTAGTCAATGAGTATGGTTTGGTTGATCTCTTCACTTATGTGAACAGTAGGAGATATCGAGTTTAAGTCCTCTTGATCACAAGTGACTTCGTCAATTTGTGAATGTAAGAGAGTCGCTAATTCTTTCTCAAAACCGTTCAACAAACGTCCTTGGCTCCCGACCAACAAACGTCCAAGCCGTTTGTTTCCGTCACTTGAGCCCATCTTCGGCTTCCTCTCCACGCCACAGATCAGCTTATTTTGTTTCTTAACTCGTTTTTCTTGTGTCAGAGAGGGAGTGAGAGATTGACAACTGATCTCCAATTGTACCAAGAGATTCCGGTAGCTCCGGTAGCTTTTCCCGGTAAGGTAAGCCTAAAATTCTTTCTCAAAACCTTTTATCTGTTTATCTAAGTTGGATTGAACAATTATTAGTTTTTTTTTTTTTTTTTTTTTTTTTATTCGGTAGCTCCGGTAGCTTTTCCGTAAGGGTAAGCCTAAAATTCTTTCTCAAAACCTTTTATCTGTTTATCTTAAGTTGGATTGAACAATTATTAGTTTTTTTTTTTTTTTTTTTTTTTTTTTTTTTTTTTTTTGAGATTTTAGTCTAGGTTGAAATTTGGGAGTCTTGTTGATTTAGGTTCAAGCCCATTTTTCCTGTATCCCCAGCTTCATATGAGCAGTTTTTCTTAGTAGAAATTTAGAAGCAGATATATGGCTCAGTTAAAAACTCCCATTTGGTTCGGGAAAACAAATACAGCTAAGAAAAGTGGTAATACATATTATAATATAAACCTTCTTGTTGGGAAAAATTACGCAAAATCCCCTTTACGAGGGAGCAAAAGAAAATAATAACACACAATTTGATAACGGAGTTCGGCCAATCTTGCCTACGTCTCCAGACTGCTACAGATCTTTTATAGGACAAAAATAAATAGTGTTTACATACACTCACAACCCTCTATTCAAGATACCCGAAAAATTAAGCTTAATTTTTCTTCTTGAAAAAATAATTAAGCTTGAAGTTTTTCTTCTTGAAAAAATCTCACTATTTTTCTCTCTCACAATTGCCTTCCTCTCACATTGACTGCTCACTCTCAACAATTGCTATTTCAACAATTTATGCTTCTCATCTCTCTCGTCTTGTTCGGTTTGTGTTTAAATAAACTGGCGCCGTCGGCCTTCCTTTTATAGGCAGTTTCAGTGAATGAGTCCGTTAGTAGTAACTCATTCACATCCTTCCACTCACTTTTTCGTCACAAAAAGAAAAATATGGCCGAACTTCTGCCTAACCTTTGTTTTTTCTTTTTCAGTACACGTGGGTGGGGTACACGGCTAACTTTGACAATCTTGAAGACTGATTTCAATCTATCTTCACACATTAATTCTGCGGCAATCTTCTCTGGTCTGTTATTCTAGCAGGCCAACTGAAGTCGAGCACAACTTAAGTTTGTCAATGGTCACCACCTTTGTTAACATGTCAGCTGGATTCTTGTTTCCTTGAATCTTCTCTAACTTTAACACATCATTCTCAAGCAGAGACCTGATGAAATGATATCGAAGACCAATGTGTTTTGTTCTAGAATGGAATGCTGAATTCTTTGTCAAATGTATTGCACTCTGACTATCACTGTACAAAACATTCTTTTCCTGCATGAATCCCAACTCTGTTAACAAACCTTGAAGCCATATCATCAAACTATCAAACTGTACAAAACATTTCTTTTGGCATGCATGAATCCGCAAAACTCTGTTAACAAACCTGAAAAGCGCATATCAAATCATCTTTGCTGGCTTCTGTCACCTAAGCGACATAATTCAGCTTTCTGTGGTTTGGATAGGATACAATCTTCTGTAACCTGTGACATTCCAAACAAACAGCTGTAGTAACCCAACAGTGAAATATAACCTGTGGTGCTTCTCGGTGATCAATGTCGAGCCTCCATAACAGTCCCAGACTGCATATATATATAGATATATCCGTTGTACATATTAGTTTCTCCTTTATAGAGAGGAGAGAGAGCACTCAGAATAAAGTGCCCAGTCTGTAACGGCTGGAATGAGCAAGCAGAGGAGCATTTTCAAATCCACTTTACCGCTTCCCAATGAAGCTTTCTCCCCGAGCGCACTCACTCACTCACGTAGTCCTGCCTAACGAGCACACCTTTTCTAGAGAGACCTCTGTGGCATGAATATCTGGTACTGCGTACAGCCGCATTTGAGTTGCGCAGTCTGATATAGGTACGCGGCGATCATTAAAGTGAAGACGACACTTGCTATGTGTCGAATAATAGCGGAGGTATTATCTTCTTTCTTACCGGTCTGAGGGGAACTGGTATACCTTAGCGATAGGCCGAAATGGAATAGACAAGGGTGTGCTTGACCCTCGGATCTTTAAGCTTCGTTCATTCGCTCTGAAATCTTTGCAATACACGATTGATGTAATCCCGCCTGAGAGAAGAAACTGCACACCTGTTTTTGCTTATAAATGTCTCTCGTGAATTTGCATTCACGCATAGAATCTTTTTCGCTGCGATTCCCAAGTCCTTCATAGTCAATTCTTTTTGAGCACATTGCTTTCTTCAAGTCTTCTGATATCACATCCCATTATTTGAACCTGCTACTGAAGCATAGTCATGCAAACATAAAAAGCAGTAAAAGACTGATAATAGACTGGACCTGTTAATAATTTTGAAGAGTCAACAGTGGGTGTCGCGCGATTGTCACTAGTTCTGGAAGCCTTCAAATTGTGCATGAAACTGTTGAACTTTTTATATACCACTGTCTTGAGCTTGTTCAGTCCATTACACAGCTCTACTCTTGAGTTTGCAGCACCAATATTCTCTTTTCCTTTTTCTGAGAATCCTTTTGGCCGGTACATGTATATTTTCCTTTAATCCAAGTCCTCCGTGAAAGAAACGCCGTCTATACGTCCAACTGCTCAAAGAGGTAGAGCCCGCTTCACTGGCAACAATACTCATACCACAAGACCTGAATAGTATTGAGTTTTTTTACGCAACTGGTTAAAGCCAAAATAATGTTGGTGTAGTCATACTTCCTTCCTTCGTGCCTGAGAACCCACTTTAGACTACCAAAGTACACGAGCTTTGTTAAATCTGGAACCATCATGGTTCCCTCTTTCACTTCGATACAACCCATTTATTGTATTGTGAAGATTGACCTTCCTTTCCCAACGGGTAAAGCTCAGTTAGTTTCTCCGTATTGTTGACTTGAAGAGATTTAAAGACTGTTCATTTCAGTCGTGTTCATAATGGCAAGGCTGCTCACTTGCTTATGGCAATTCTGCCGTTTTGAACGCGATGCATTCCTCAAAGCACTTCCTCAAAGCATTCAGGTTCTCCTCCATCTGTTAATAATAAATAATTCATATATTTTCTATTAGGCTTTGGAGGACGTTCAGACCTTCTTAACGCTTGTAGAGGAGAAGTTTGTGGTGTGTTGATTGATTCCTCTGATTGAGGATCTTTAACTAACTCATTCGGCAGACTTTCTGAGATGCCGTCCACCTCTACAAACACTGGCCCACTCTGCTCTGAGTCGCTGACAACTGTGTCATGTCTGTTCTTGTACATCATTCTTTCATTAAAGACCACATCTCTGCTGCGGATCACTTTCTTATTTTCTTCATCCCAGAGGCGGTATCCAAACTCTGCTGGATAGCGGTAGCACTTTCTTATTTTCGCTTCAATCCCAGAGGAGACGGTTATAGAAGCAAACTCATACTCTCACCATTACTCGGCCGATGAAAATGGTCAAGTTTTTACTTAGATTTTGGGAAATCAATGTCTTACTTCCACTTTAGACCATGTATACCCACTCTATAAGGATACTCGCTTAACGCAAGTACATACCGAATACTCTTAGTTGGTGGAGAGTTTGATTACTTCTTTTTCCACTCCATACCTGTACTTCTGGTAATTTTTGCTATCACCAAATGAGTACATCACAAAAGGATGGACCCATATCGTTGAATCAAGTAAGTCTGCTGTGTTGACTGCTGCTACACGTGCTCTGCAACAGAACTCGGCTTTTGGTAAACCTGATTGTACACGTAAGCTTTCTGGCTCTTTCTGTCCAACCAAAGATCGATTCATATTGTATGTCGATCTAGCTATACCTACCATTGTGTTGAGGCGTGCCTGGCACGGGTTTTCTCTCCATTCTTGATTCCATATGCTCATAGCAGAACTTTCTTGAACCTGGTGTCTTCCATATTCACCACCAATTGTCGGTTCTGAACTTTTTTTGATCTTCAATCCTGTCTCATTTTTTCCAACCATAGCTTTTCCAAATTTTTGAAAGCATCAAATTATCTTCTGACTATATATTTTATAAAGTAAAACCCATAACCTTTCCGACTGAGTGACATCAAAATAAAGTCACAAAAGTATCTTAGTTTTCCCACCAATGGATTTGAGAACAGTAGTTTTGGAACCCAGAAGACACAACACCTCGAGATAGTGAACCAAATCTCAAAGTTTTCCTCGCCTTCCTTTGGTGAGTTCGTTTATTTTGAACTGAATAGCTGACTCTTTTCGTGCTTTCCAAAATATGCAAGGAGTCTTACAACACATGTCAAATTTCAAGAATATAGACTGAAGACCTGAGTTTAGGTTTTTTCTCTGTTGATGTGAAGAATTCTTTCATTAATCCTTCATACTCATAATGGCCCACAGTTAATGTGCCATAATATTTGCGGCAGTTTCACGCGTGTTATGCTACACTCAGCTAATGGACATAAAAGCTTTGCTCCTCCCTGTGCCTTAAAGCATAAGATTTTACTCTCTCTCCTTTACACAGTGAGAGTAGTACGTGATATAATCGTGAAATAGTAATCGTATACGTGAAATTAGGTACTAAACGAGTTTGACTGGCATACAGAACCATCCCACAATAGTACTCGTTCACAACTGTAATCACTACATAGTACTGTTTACCCTATATCGCAAGCACTAAGATATCCGTGATTCTTAGCAAACTACTTTCCAAAGCGCGCAAAACACACAAGTTAGATCCATCGTCGTAAATTTTTCTCCCTATACACTCACGAGTGAATTATTATTTATTTTTTGAAAATGAGTGATCACCAAGAATCCGATTATCCGAGCTTATCTAATTGGCTGGAACTGCCGAAAAACCTTCGCTCTGAACTACGCAGTTGTTAGGGCAAATTAACGTAGCAAAATCCGCCTTTACGAGGGAAGCAAAAAAAAAAGAGTAAATAACACAAAATGTTCGATAACGGAAGATTCGGAAATCAAATCTGACCTAACGTCATCTTGCGGACTGTCCATCACGATCTTTTATATTTTGGGGACAATCACAAAATAAATAGTGTTTTAACATACACGCTCAACCATGATTCACCACAACCCTGCTATTCAAAGAACCATGCACGACAAAAATTAAGCTTAATTTTTCTTGCTTGAAAAATACTCATCTATTTTCTCGTCACTCTCTACAATTGCTCTCTGTCCACATTGCTCCTCAGCTCCACAATTGCTCTCACATCTCATCTGTGTTGTTGGTGTGTTTATGAACTATGGTCTGCCTCCCTTTTATAGGCAAGTTTTCAGTGAATGAAGCTCGTGTATAACTTCATTCCACGCTGTCTTCACACTTTTGTCTCCAAATATAATAGAATTCGCCACAAAAACTCTTCTGCAACTTAAATGTTTTTTGCTTTTAATACGATCGATGGCGGCTGGGTACACCTAACTTTGACAACTTCTGTCAATTTTATTAACTGGCGAGTCTAGGCTGAAATGCATATTACTCGGAGATTTTCTTAGGAATTAAGAAATGGAAATGCGCGGCAGATATGCATATGTCTATTGAGTAGATAATAGTAGTTGACAGCGGATTAGGACTCTCATCTTTAACAATTAATTCAACGATTTACTGGGACAATGAGTCGTGTATAACTCATTCACGTCTTCACACTTTGTCAAAAAGAAATTGCCAACTTCTGCCAACTTTGTTTTTCTTTTCATCACGTGGGTGGGTACACCTAACTTTGACAACTTCTGTCATTTTTTACCGTTGCTAAATGAATTATGGGGTTTTAAATTAAAGAAATGGAGATGCGGGAGATGCATATGTCTATGATCTGTAATAGTAGTTAGGCTTTTTTACAATTATTCAACGATTTACTGGAAATTGGGGTGGTTAGCACAATTGGTTGGAATGATGGTTCATGAAAATGGATGTTGGTTTAGAGAAATTCTTGTTGTAATTATCATTTTTAAATGACAAATTTTACTTCCTGTGTGATGATCGCCACTGATGATGATGATGAAACGTTGAATACAAGTGAAAGAAAATATTTGCTGCAGTTCAACAGAGTAGTAAGTCCTATAAAGGGCGTAAATTTCTTGCCTGCATTGTCATGCAATTTATTAGTTCGGGCAAGCGGTTACATTGAATTGGCAACTGGTTTCCAGAAATTAATGATGATGATAACAATTGCAGCTGATCTTGCTTTCGCACTTGCCTACCAATAAATGAATAGAGGGACAAGATTTACTATTCCTTGCAAACACCTGCCTACCAATAAATGAACATCCCAAAAGTTAGGTTCAATTCAGTTGTTTCGGTTAAAATATTTTCATTTCGTTTTATTTTGGCTTAGTTTCTAAAAAGTTAGGTAGGTCAAATCTGTTATTCAGTTAGATTTAATTTGATTCAAACATGAAAGTTGAATGCCATCTGGTTTAGTGAGATTTTGGTTGTAGTGGATAATTTTAATTTGAATTGTTTCAAATTGATTACTACTATTTTTTTTTTTTTTATGATTTATATTCTGTAAGATTAAAATCATCATTATTTCAATTATTAATATCTTTAATTAGGACAAAAATAAAATAAATCAAACGAAGTAAACATAAAACATAAAAGTTAACAAAAGTCATGGGTTGTAAATAAATTTGAAATTCAATTCCATTGCTTGACCCTTACCAAAGTTTTCCTTATGAAACTCAGCAACGGACATCTTTCCGTTGCTAATACCTATTGCTAGTCCGTTACTAATCCCATGCTACTCTTTAAAACCCAGCTCCTTACTAATCTTTCGTTTCTGACCTGCTTGACATGTTAGCAGAAATCGAGAAATAGGGTTTTTTCTATACCAAATATAAAAGCATAAACCACTAACATTGGATTCTTAAAATGTCTATAGACTTTTATTTAATTGGTTTGTTAAAAATATAATAAAAAATATTTTAGTCTTATTCTAATCCGAAAATTTTTAAATTTATTGATATTTTATTGGTTAATTAAAATTATATTGAAAATATCATTAAGGATAATTTAATCCTACTCTGCTTAAGAAACTTTTAATTATATTATTATTTTATTGATTGATTAAAAATTTACATATAACTTCCTACAATTATTCAATTTTGAATTTGTACAATTTTTTGAAATTTTTTTATCAAAATTGAATTCGTCCAATTCAATCACTACTATCAAAGGCAATTATTTTTAATTATTTCTAATATTAATGTGCATGAATCAAACTAATACATTTCGTAATTAGTAAAAGCTATTTTAAAAGAAAATTAACTATCTTTACTATAATAAATATATTTTTTAATTGGGACATAAAAATCTTATTATTAAAAATATTAATTAAATTATAAAAAGCTATTTTAGCTATTTCGCTGGACAAGAAATTTTTTAAACATTTTTTCTATACATATGCACGCTTCATAATGTTATTTTGTGTTGTCTTTATGTTTTGTTTTTTTATATTACATGTTTCTTCATTTCTATTTTTGTTATAATTTTATTTTTTCAATAAATATCTTGGAGTAGGAATAGGGAGGGAAACATTAAAATTGTAAATAAAAAAAAAAAAAGACATGATTGAATTTATAACGACAAATTGCCCTATATTTTGATTGCTAGAAAATAAAATAAAAAATTATTTAAAAAAAAAATTAATCTGATAAGTTATATTGATTTCATACTTAAATCCAAGTCCTATTAGAGAAATATAATTGTATTAAATTTTTTAAAATAATCTCTTAATTTTGATTGGCTAAAAAATAAAATAAAAATTTTCAAAAACTATTAACTTAACTAGAATACTAACGCATTAACTCATTAAGAAAATAATAATAATAAACATTTATTATATTGAAAATTATAATTAAATATAACAATTTATTTTCATAATATCTAAACTACATGTAAAATAATTTTTAGTATATATCTAACATTGAATCTTTAAATTGCCATTATTGCCTGCTGAGTGACCCCTTTTCCTTTTTTTTTTTTTTTTTTTTAAAACTACATGTAAATAATTTTTTAGTAATATATCTAACATTGAATTTTAAATTGCCATTATTAAGCCTGCTGAGTAGACCCTTTTCCTTTTTTTTTTTTTTTTTTATAAGATTAGACAAGGGATTAATATTAATGATAATTGAACAAGGAGTAGAACATACGACCTCTCAAACCCAATAAAATAGAAAATAATTTTTTCTTAAAAACCAAATCAGAGGGAGGTTGAACTGAATAACGTATCCAAAATACAAACCCAACTAATGCTTATTGAACAAGATTGTTAGATAAATATAATTGAAGTTCAATTGTTTTTTTTCTTACTTTGTTTTTGTTGAATAAAATTGGATTTATAATTATTGTAAAGTAGGTTGGGCCGAACTCACTTTGACTTTTTTTTTTTTTTTTTTAAGCATTAGACAAGGGATTATATTAATGATAATTGAACAGGAGTGGACATTCCGACCATCTCAAACCCAATAAATAGAATAATTTTTCTAAAACAAATCAAATTGAACTGAAAACGTATCCAAAATCAAACCCAACTAATGCTATTCAAGATTGTTTAATAAATATAATTGAGTTCAATTTTTTTTTTTTCTTACTTTGTTTTTGTTGAATAATGGATTTATAATTTTGTAAAGTAGGTTGGGCCGAACTCACTTTGACCATGAGTCAGCCCAACCCATTATACTAACCCATCTGATACTTACAATGAAAATGCCATTTAGCTCACAATTTCTTTTAATAAAGAAAAACCAAGAAATAAATTTCTTACCAAAATAATATAATCGATAAATACATCAAATGAACTTCCTGGAGACTGCACATTCCAGATAGGGAAGCAAATAACTTACCCATAACATAAGCAAAAGCGGAGCTGTGTAGATGGTGTCCACATCTTCTGTACTACCCATCAATGGAAATATCCTCATCTCCTGTCAATACTCATCTCTTTCCCTCAATCTTCATCGCCCTGCAACTATCCTCAAGTAAGTTTCAATTCTCAGTCCTGCATACCCATTTCTCCATTTGTTCTTGTTCTTCCATTTTGCTGATTAATTGAAATTTCTTGATGTCAATGTTTTGTTTCCGAGAAATTTTATCACAAGAGAGAAAAATGAATTAATGAAAGTTTAAATTTTTTTATTTTAATTTGAGTGATTTTATAGTTTTGTTGACTTCCTCAGATAGTGAGAAGGAAAATGGGTAGAAGTGAAGCAGTCAACTGGAAAAAAAGTGTTCACTAAACTTTCTTGATTGTAGAGTTAACATACTTCTTAACTATTGACACTGCTAGCAGAATATCAGAACTCTAAGTTGAGTGAATATTATAATGCTCCTTAAGAGCATAATGTAGTTTTTAGTTTATATATGTATATAATTTCAATATATATTATGCTCCACTTTGGGTAGCTGTGAATTTGGAATGAAGGTGTATTTGGATTTGTGTATCAATTTGAAACAAAGATTATGTCAAATCCAAAGTCATTTATTTTAAATGACTAATTATCCAAATGGACTTATATAATAATTTAACGGTAACTTATGAAATTCACCATTTCACGTTAAATATATAATATTAAAAGGCTAATTTGAGCTCAAACCTATCTCAAGTTTATTTGAGTTTTAATTCAAGATCAGCTAAAAATTCCACTTGGGAGGTTGACTTGATTAGCTCAAGTATAATACCACGTCAAATTTCAATACAAAAGGAAAACTTGATCAAGTTTAAGGCCCCAGTTTGCAACAACTTTTTCTTGCTGTTTTTGGATTCCAGCTTTTTCTTGTTATTGTATTTGAAATTTCATGTTTTCATGTTTGTTATACATGAAATGTTCATTTTACTCCTAATATCTAAATTTTGTGAAACTCAAGATAACTAAACCAAATTCTTTCATTTGTAAATGAATTATACACTTAAAAATTCAAATTCATTGAGTTTTTTAGCCGCGGAGTTTGGTTAATGTTTTGTACTGGCTGGGTTCAATCACACCAATACTTCAGTGGGTTGCTTTCATTTTTCAGTGTAGTATTCTAAACCAATATTATTTTCAGGTGGGGATTTGGAAGAGATAGAGACAACAACTCAGCTTCCAGTAGAACCAAGAGACAAGCTTTCCGGATCTTGGCAAATCCTAATGTATGCATCAAACCAAGGCTTCTTCATGTTAATGCCAATATATTTGGTTTGATTATAAACAAAGGTTGTTTTAGGTATGTGATTGGTGATTTAGTCAATGGGTGCCTTGTGGTTGTTCAGAATTCCCAATGTTAATTTGTTTGATTTGATGTAGCTTGAATTGTTCATGATAATGCATAATTTATTAATGCAGGCATTATACCCAGTCATTTAGATTACAAAGCAAGACGCTTGCTCTATGAATTTAATTGCTTGATTTAGACAATTCAGGAAAACTAAGTCTGTTTGCTTCCCTCGTTAGTAATGATTTTCACCTTAGCTCTGTTGTTGGTTTTTTGATAATGGATTTTTGGAAATATGTGAGTTTTGAACCAATTAGAATTATGTATGCTTATTACTCTATTTGCATTTTTAACTAGAACAATGTGAACAACTTAGGAAGCATAAGATGGAACAGTAACATGTAGTTAGTTGGTTCTAAGAGTTCTTCTTTCAAGAAAAGTTTGTTACTCTTGAACTCTTCTTCATTTGTTTTCTGTTGGATGCTCCTAGAAATCTGTTGTCAGTGGCCAAGGAATTGTATAAATGTAATAATTTTTGTTGGAAGGTTGAAAAGTCACCTGATTTCAGATCTTATCGCATTCTGTCTTCTCTTCTAAATGTTTCCATAATGCATATGCACACCGTGGAGAGAAGTTTGTGCACTGAAATATCAGCCTTGCTTTATTTGGCTTTTGTGTACTAAAATGCCTAGAAAGCCCGTGTCTTTATGATACTGTAATAAAGAGTTATTTTACATGCTTTTTGAATGTCCTCTCCCTCTCTTGTTGTGGAAAATTAATATGCAATTTAATATCAAGTGATTTTGCGATTAATAAATTCCTTTCTCAGTCTAGAACTTTTTCTTTGCAAATTTGCATTAGGTGCATCCATCACCTCTTTGGCAGCTGTGTTGTTCAAATGGTTATATGAAGCCTGTCATTTGGTATCTTCATTTGGGTTGCAAATTGAAAGATTATATGCGAATGTATCAAATGTCATTGTGAATCATGTGCATTGGATTCAAAGTAGACAATTATTTTATGCTATATCGTGTTGAATCATTCAGTTGTTGTTACTTGGATTAAGTATCCTACATGATTACATGTTGGGTTGACAAATTCACTTATTACCTAAAAATTTGATTGAGTTTCCAGGTAATGTAAAACCTCAAAATATCATTCCCATACATCATATTGGTGCTTTTGGTAAAAGAATTGAAGTAATCAATACAAATTTGGAGTTGCAACTTGCATGTATATGTTGCTTTTGTATTATTTGATCATGTAGTTAATTTGGAATTCCAACAGATTTTCTTTCTCTTATATCCTTCATATATGAGTTCACTTTTTTCTTAAACTTATCTTTCTGTTGTTTTCTTTTCCAATGCATTTCCTTTCTGAAAATTTCAATTATTTTTTTCCAATTTAAAAATAATCATGATATATCACATGCTTTCCCCAGATGTAAGAATTCTTAACTTGGAATGAGTTGATAACTTAAGAAATAGCTATTTGTTTTTGGCGTATCATTCAGGTGTCAGGGAAAGGAGATTCAAAAAGAGAGATAATCATGGTTGATCCTTTGGAAGCTAAGCGATTAGCTGCCAAACAGATGCAAGAAATTCAAGCTAAAGAGAGAATTAAGGTGAATGAAGTTTCATATCATTTTAAGATACTGAGTGCAAAAGATGCTTTGGATTGCTCCTTGTTATTCTTGTTTGGGATTTAGGCTTCCATGTATGCATATCTATAGAAATGTTCTAATCTTCTTCAGTAAATCTGCTTTTCTTTAGAAAGGAAAACAGGGCAGTTGAATAGCCTTGTTTCCTTTAACCAGTACATGCTCCAAGTTATAGTGAATATTTCTTCTCTCTTACCAAAGAAGTGTCAGAACTACAGTTTAATTTTTGAGATGTTAGTCAATTTTAATATGTAAAAACAACAAAAATGGTTCAAATAATTTATTTAAAATCATGTTTTTATATTAGAGACGACGTCTAATTGAAGCAATTAATGGTGCGTGGGCAATGATTGGTCTCACAGCAGGCTTGGTCATTGAAGGTCAGACAGGGAAAAGTATACTGGATCAGGTAAAGTTAATCATGCCTTCACATAAATATTTGGTATAAATGAGCATGGAGTTCATTACATTTGCAAATGAATTTCATTAAAAATTTTCATTCATAACTTAGTGTTTGGAATAAGTTAACATGAAACGTATTTCATTTTCAATTGAATTTTTATGTTTGCATCAATTATAGAATTCATTTTTAAATATGGAGCTTTACTAGTTTGTACTTACAATTCATTAGCTTCTAGCTTTATTAAGATTAGATTTTACTTGCAAATTATAATGGAATTTGACTCGAGTATAACCAATTCAATGAACTAAAAGTTTAGAATTAAAATGAATTTTCATTCATATCAAACACCTCGAACGAAGATTTGCAGATGAATTCTTTTTATGAAATTCATTTCTGCCTAACAAGCTTTTAGCCTTTTTTAATATCGTGCCTGCATAAGAAACCATCATCAAATACTAATTTCAGTAATTGATTTTATTCTCAGTTGGCTGGATATTGGTTTGCCATTATCCATCTTTTTGTGCGATAGACGGCTTTGAAAGATAAATTGTGCAGTTGCAGATTCTTTTATGAAGCATTCTTTCAAAATTAACATTGTATTGTTTTTAGCTATTGTTGCTTCAGCAGGTAGCAAATGCAGCAACATTTTACTTTGTTAAATGTATTCAGCATTTTGAATTGACCTGTTCATAATATTGTATTACCTCTTCTTGAGGTTTTTAGCTTGTTCTTCAAAATGTCACTGGATTTCTTGGCATTGAAGGAGAAGAATTCATTATTCTCTTTATTCTATCTATATTTTGTTTTGGAATGAATTCATTTTATGTGACAACATTTGGCTACCTCTAAATCATGATTTCAATTTTAAGTTCCTACCCAGAAATTGTTTGCAACTTGGTAAATTTACCCTACTTGCCACGTTGGTCTGGTTACGCGGGTAAATTGCCAGGTCATATAAGTGGACACATAGACAAAAGCGGCTCTGCTTCATCCTTTTATACAATCTGACTGTTCACTTGAGACACCAAATTGAAAAAAATTACTAATTCATGCATTTAATTGTCATTATTTTTCATTCGGACACCAAAAACTCAAGAGGCTCCGGCGTTGATAACAAACAAAGCCTTTATGCTAAATAGACATCCGGTGTAGGAAAATATGAAAGTATCAAACCCATATTATACATATGATAAAAAAATAATAAATAATATTAATTAAAAAAGTTTGGTGGCTAATTAAGGTAGACTGTTTCAAAATTGTGAAAATGCTCTCTTATCCAATCTTGTAAAAATCTTTGTGGGCTCTTTTCGTTGTCGAACTAAGAAATTATCACAAACCAACCAGTCTCATTAAGCCACGTCAAATAGTGTCACTAACTATTGGATATATATAGCTGTTTTACCATTATTTTTCTTTTTCTCTTCCATTATACATGTTTTGATACGTGAAGACTCAAAGAAGGATCTTCAATTAGAAGTTTGTTAGCATTTGCGTGAGGCTTGAGCTTTGATTTTAGAAAAAAAAAAAAAAATCCCGTTCAAAGAGTTCAACTCGGGAAGGAAGTTATATTCTTTTTTTTTTTTTTTTTTTTTTTGGGGTAGACTGTACTTCAAAAATTGTGAAAAATGCTCACTATATACCAATCTTGTAAAAATCTTTGAGTGGGGCTCTTATTCACGTTGTAGACTAAAGAAATATCACACAACCGAGGCAAACAGTCATCAGTATAAAGCCAACGGTCAAGGAATAGTGTCCACTCAACTAATTTGGAATATACTATGAGTATGGCTGTTTTTAGGCAAATTAATTTTTCTTATTATTATCTCTTCCATGATACATGTTTTTATATACGTGGAGAAAGACTCAAAGAAGGATCTTCAATTAGAAGTTTGGTTAGCATTTGCGTGGAAGGCTTGAGAGCTTTGATTTTAGAGAAAAAAAAGAAAAAAAATCACCGTTCCAAAAAAGAGATTATCACTCGGGAAGTGAGAAATTAATATCGTTTTTTTTTTTTTAATATTTTTTTTTTTTTTTTTTTTTTTTGAAAGTTAATATTCAAAATGGGAACTCAAGTTGCCAACTTAGACTTGAATTGTGATAGGTTCCCACCCTAAATATTATCATATGAGCTCGGCTAAGAAAAAAATTAAAAATAAAAACCATTATAGTTGAGATGACTCGAATTTAAATCCACTATTCACATAAGTCAAAATATCAATTTGATTATACTTAATTGGGCTTTAAAAGAAAAAAGTTAAACATTTATGAATCGGTAATATAGCATTTGAACTAGCTTTAAAAAATTAAAATGACGTTTTCTAAAATATTAATTTTGTAACACTTAACTGTTAACGTTTTATGAAAAACTATTCAAATAATTAAATGATGCTACTAAAACTACTAATAACTATCAAAACAGCTAATTTTATTGAAGAAAACCTGAATTAAATTTTTAGAGTTAAGTGTTTATGAATATTTTTAGTACAGTGTGAATGATTTTCTTTTACTAAATTGATATAATATCAAAAGTTTAATCAACATTTTAATTAGAGTCAATAATAATTAGTTTCAATAGTTAGGGTGACTGACTCATTTTTATTATTATTTAAAAAAAAAAAAAAAAAAAAAAAAAAAAAGTTCTCAATTAGTTACTGGGTGGACGACATCAATTATTATTATTATTTAAATAAAAAAAAAAAAAAAAAAAAAAAAAAAAGCTGAAGGTGGTTAGGGTGACAAGCCATGAAGCCAACCAACTCCTCGTCAAAGACATAGCCAACCGTTGATGCTTCTTTGAATGGATTATTCTTCTTCTTCTCATGCTTTAGTTGTCTCTTTTAAAGTTTGCAAATGGATAAACATTGCATTGTTTCTTGGTCAATCTTCCAGCTTTTGCCACGTCATTATCCAGCCTAATAAAAACATCACATCCCCAAAAAGCAACGAAATTTCTTCTTATTAGTTTTCTTTAAGAAATAGTCAATTTCCATTAGTTAGTTGAATCATTGAATGTAATCAATCATGCGGGAATTTATTTTCAAAATATTGAAATTATTCTCAAAATTATAAAATTATAATTAAAAATTATTTAATATAAAAATCTAAGTAAATAGCAATATTTTGGATGTTAGAGAACAAAGTACTATATAAATATAAACTTAGGTTAAAACTTGACTTATGTATTAAATCTTGTTGTGTGCGTATAATTTTGTGATAAAAAAAAAAAAAAAAATTTGTGATAAAAAGAAATGCTACGTGGCAGTCTGGCGAGAGAAAGGACAAAAACTGGTGCACCTAAAAACCTGAAAATTAAATGATATGGAGAAAATCCACCCAATTTTCAGATATTTTCTTAGTGGAAGAATTTTATATTTTGGTATTCATTTTTATTTATCTACATTTTAAATAAATGAGATAATGAGCAACGCGTTAAATTTATTTTCATTAAAGAATAAAATAAAATAGTAAAACAGTATTTTTTTTTTTTTTGGGAAAAATTTATTTATATCTTATATATGGAGAGTCCAAAATGTCTGAGTTAACAATGCCTTTTAGTAATGGAGGCAAAGAAGCAAAAGTAGTAAAAATACAATTGTAATTTTCATTAAGATCGAATAAAATAAAATAGTAAAAACAGTATATGTTTTTTATTTTTATTTGGGAAAAAATTTATTTATATCTTAGTGGATAAGTGGAAAGAGTCCCAAAATGTCTAGAGTTAACAATGCTTTATTAGTAATGGAGGCAAAGAGAGCAAAAGTAGTTAAAAAATGACAAATTAAATTGAGTAACATCTGCTGAAAACGTGCTAAAGGAGAATTAGCTTGACTTGGTTACACCCTCTGGCGATAAAATAATGACAAGAAAGGAGACATAGAAACCCGAAGATTGAAAGAAATTCTAGATACATTTAATGATAAACCGAGTTTGCTGGCGAAAGTTGGAGGAAAGTGAATGAAGTCGATAGTAGTTTTATGAGTCACATCTCAAAATAAATAAAGGGGGTAAAGGTGATTTAGGAGCTTTGGACACCAAACTAAGACTGAATAATAGGATTTAATTTCGAGCAAATCTGCAGAGTCTTTGAGGCATGAATTGGGGAAGTCAGTATGGCAGCAAGCTGAGAAGCTTCCTAAATCAGATCCTTCAGAAATTATAGCTCCTGTCCTGCAGGACCGAAAGAAAGAAAGAGTAAAGAACCATCCAACGTATGAAGTTTGTAAAAGTCCAGCTTGATGGTTTGAAACAGATAACCAAGCCTTAATTTTCCAATTTTTTAAATCCACGAGAGAAGAATTTCAGAGAAGGTAATGCATGAAATAAGAATGAACTGAGCAGAGATCTGGATTCAACGAGTGAGACAAGCCCCATTTGAGATCATTGTAGCGAATCTGGTTGCCAGCAAAATTGGGGAAGTAATGAACGAGACCAAACCTCTTAGAGCCCCATGTGAAGAACAAAGACAGATGACTGACCCAAATAGAGTCAGATGAATAACTGGGACGCATGTGAGACAGCAGTATGCTGACCAAATAGAGTAGAGAATAATTTGGGAAATGAATCTCATTATTATGCCTGGTGATGATTTAGGAGTATAGTGAATCCACCATGAAATTAGTTCCTGTCGAAGAGAAGTTGATGCTAGCGGTTTAGTGCAGAGTATAGTAAAACAGTATTTTATTTATCACAAGTATTTAATACTTGAGTCAATAATAATATTTAGATAATAACTTATTAACGGCAACGATTTTAATTCTTTTCAAACCAGAATCACCGCAATAATTGTGTTATATTATATACATTCATAAGATAATGTTTTATATACATTTTTTTATTATTATTAAATTTTATGACAGCTTGTAAAAAAAGAAAAACAAAAAAGTAAAAGCATATCATATGCAATTTGTAGTTGGCAATTGGATTTGTTTGTTTAGAGATTTGTAGGTATGGTATGGATAGAAGTCAATTAAGATGGTTAATGCCCTCTTTAATTACTGTGACGATAAAGCATTATTTAACAAATCAAAAAAAGCATGTATTTAACAAATCAAAAAAAAAAAAAAAAAAAAAATCAAAAAGTCTTTTTCAACTACCATTAATCTATTTTTTCAATGAAAAATTATTATAGTAAAAGAAACAAGCTAACAGAACACAAAAGGGCCAACCAAAGAAAAAAAAATCAATTAAATATTCTTTGGTATAAAAAACTCTTTGAGGTTATTTATAAATTTAGAATTTAAACTAGAGATCAATTATAATGTTAATTAGTGGGTCGAAATATAGTTTAGATAAAATAGCAAAAGGAAAGAGGATTTGAGCGAGCAGACTCATAGAATCACTATGCATTTTCCGGAATTGTTAGATAAATATACATATTCTTAGGAGATTATTATGATAATGGTTTAGCTTATTCAACAAAAAAAGTAAGATTTCTTCTTTAAAATTTTAATATAATAGAATAAAGTAATGAATTTGGAGCTTAATTGTAAACACCACCAAAAATGTGTCATAATGTGCCTTAACTATAAACCAAATTTAATAATAGGTATACTATAGATTTGTCACTAGAAATCATGCATTGCTAATATCTTAATAGAAAGGTACGAAGAAAAGGTCATTGAGACAGAAATAGGGATAAATGACATATAGGGGATTGGGAGAGCGGAAATCTAATATTCTATGTTAGAATATGTCCAAACGTAAACGTTATAGGTTTTAAAATACTAATGGATTTGTAAGTAAATCTAATTATTTGAAAAAGCCCCGAGCTTTGGAACTATAAGGTGACCTGTGTCTAAGGAGCACAAATACCGCATAATAAAAAAAAAAAAA